AACAGTAATAGGTAGAGAAATGAAATTTTCACAAAGTATATATTTCTTTTGCCGCTATAAAAACAAACAATAAAAATGCAAGACATATATAATTTTTTTTAATATTTCTTGTAGAAAAAGAAAGTACATGTGCGGTGATACGAAACTCTTCGTGTGCGAATTCGACGCGCAATTGACCGATTGTTTTCTTTGTTGAAATCAGTTAAAAATTTACCACCGAAGCAATAAAAGGCAGTAATTGCAGTTGCAGTAAAATTATTTTACAAAACAACTAGTAGTCCAATTGCAATAAACGACTGTTAGCTTCAGCGTAATCTACTTTATTCCCATCCTTGACCTAATAAGTCATTTGCGTGGAAGCAAGAAATATTCCTTAACTTTTGTGCCTACTTTAAGCTAGATTTGCTTATTTATCTTTTAAATAAACTTTTTAAACCAGTATTCAATTTTCAAAATTCATTGCATTTTGAAACTATTTAGCCTTCATCACAGAGCTCTTCAATTTAATTTTCCTATAATTACATATAGATACTTTAAAAAAATTAAAGTATATAGGAACATACATTTGACAGACTTCAGAAACCAGAAGAAGGTACTTATCAAAATAATTCAATTGAACACAAATTTTAAGGTTTTCAATCTCAAATCAGATCAGAACAAATTGACTTGATACAATCAGATTCCACATATCTACAAAATAATAACTTATAGTCGATACGATAAAAATCGAGACAATAGAAGTAGGCTGATTTTTTTCTGACATTTGATTATAGAATTAATTTCAAAATTAAATAAGTAAAAGCATCACTGAAGACTGAACCAAAGAGAATGTAACCACTACGAACTAGCACTTGCACAGAAAAAAATGGCTAAGTAAAATAGATTTCGTAATCGGTCTACTTGATCGGTATAAATTATTCATAAATTATGAATTATATAAAAATAGGATATATATTATATATATGTATAATTATAAAATAATTATTGATTCTATAAATTCTGTTATAAAATACTTATTCGAGTTTCCTTATGTTATCATCTTGAGTGGAAATAAAAACTAAAAACCGACTTCAAACAAAAGCACTAAAAAGTAAAAATTACTGATTGGTAGTTTTCATTTACTATACATACCTAATCAAATATTTTCGAAGTCGGTGTTCTTTGCTTTGTATGGGCTGGCACCGATTTCGAAAATATTTGATTAGGTATGTATTTAATAGGTAGGCTTTAATTACTTAGCCAAAGCACACCGACTTCGAAAATATTTGATTAGGTATGTATAGTAAATGAAAACTACCAATCAGTTATTTTTTACTTTTTAGTGCTTTTGTTTGAAGTCGGTTTTTATTTTTTTGTTAAAAAGTTTTTATTTTTCCCTTTTTAGTGTAGACAGTAGTAGCAAAGTAAGAATTCAAACGTGTTAGGCTGTCAAATCAAACAAAATAAGCCCAAACTCAAAATATCTACTATTAGCCGTTGAAGAGTTCCACCTATCCACCTTCTGGCCTTACCATCAAATCAGGTCAACAATACCGAACCACTGTACTATCAACGGAAATAGAAACACTTGCAAAGTTTCAAGTCAATATGACAATTAGAAGTAGGTTAAATTCATCATTAGCTATTTTTCCACCCTTAGGGGTGGTATTTTTTTTTAAATTTAAATGGGACCAATCTGGAAGTATACACTTTCAAACAACACAAAAATTGTCCAAATCGGTTAATAAATGACGGAGTTCTGAGGTAACAAACATAAAAAAAGTCAAATTGAGAACCTCCTCCTTTTTGAAGTCGGTTGAAAAGGGGGGGGAAACCGTTTTGTTTTAAAATGAAATACATACGTCATTAATTTTCGTAATGTTGTTTGAGGCTTGAGGCTTGTTACTCTGACTCTATACAAAATAATAAACAGTGTGCAGTTACACCGAATTTTACTTGGCCTACCTGACCTACTTCTGGGAATACTCCAGCAACACTACTAGGTCCAAATAATAACTTGAGCTCACTAATCTTCTCGTTCCAATACAAAGCGTGTGTCAAGTTGAGTGGTTGTCCACCACAAAAGAATTAGCTAGTAGCAACTATACACTCTATCACATGAAAATTGAGCTTTACAAAAGGTATTCCCGTTTCTTTTCGAGTACACTTTAAGAGAAATATCGAGAAATGAAAGGAGAATGAATTCTTGTGAACTAATTTAGTAGTGGAGGCGGATATTGGACTTGGGAGCCGATATGTTAACGCTTATTTTGTGGGTTCTGTACGATCTCTGGGTTCTTTAGCGTAACACAAAAATGGAACCATTATTATTTGGTTGTGCCCGTTTGTATGTATCCCTATTGAAAAACACCAATAGAATCCCATCAAAAGCGACAAAAGTCACATAGAAACCAATAAATATGTATTGATTTATTATGTGGCTTTTGTCGCTTTTGATGGGATCCTATTGGAGTTTTTAAATAGGGATGTTGCGGTACCACGCATTCAGCCACAAAATTGGCTATTTCACATACCTACATTTTAAACGTAACAAAGTTGCAATGTATGTAATTTGTTTTTTTTTTTTTTTTTGCTAAAAACTGTCTAAATTTTCTTATCTACATGATGATTGAAAAAACAGCAATAAAATCGGTTATATTCGAACCTATAAATTTCGAGAAATTACCATAATAAATCACCATAACGCGCCACAAACTGTGGAATTGAACATGTGCTAATTAAGATTTATAAGGTTAATTCGTGAAAACTTCGCGTGCAGAGAGGCGCTATTTGCTATAACCTCTAAACACTATCATGTAACATGTAACAAATTGTACTAGTATGCGGGCTGGCTTTCTCCAAGGACAAAGGAGTATCGAACACAGGTTATTACCCGACATCAAAAAAGGGTTGTTAGCACGCTTTTATTAAGTTCACTCTTAATAAATTATAAACTAGCACTGCCCGCGGCTCCGCCCGCGTTCAGAGGACCAAAAAGCAAATTCTTAGGTTTTGCAGATTAGTATTACAGTTTTTGCATTTTTTTGTCAGAAATGAGATATTTTACCGTGGTAAAAAGTATCCTATATGTTGACCCGGATAACAAGCTATCACCATAGCCAATTTCATCAAAATCCCTCCAGTGGTTTTTCTGTGATGCGGTAATAGACAGACAGACGGACAAAAATTCTAAAAACTATAGATTCGGCTTCTGTATCGATAATAATGTTTATGTTCAATAAGATTTTCCAAAAATTATCTAATGTACAGATTCGTCTCAGTTACAATTTTATTATATGTATAGATTGAAGTATCGATATCTTGGAAATCGATTTAACTTAGATCCATACATCACTTATTTTATTAATCATTACATCCTTTCGTATTTTTTTGTGTAGAGATAGTTGGAGAGCTGGAGAGTAACATATGCTAACGAGATTATCTCATTTCCACGGGACAACACGTGATATTAAGTACAATCCAAAAAAATATTTATGATCCGAATTACTTACTTGAAACTTGACGTTAATGTTCTTCAATACAATTAAATAAATACGTATTTTAGGCATTTTTCAAAATTCATTTCATAAGGGGGTAAAACAGGCCATTCATACCCTGTTTTACCCCCTTTCAAGATTGTATAAAACCAAGACCGTTTTAGATTTTTTGTGTAGTTTTAGCGCGAGCGAAGCTTTGAGTTCTGCTAGTACATACTATAATAATGGTCATATCGATTTTGAAACAATTATGTGTTGTAAAATCTAGATGGCTATATAATTTGATACCATCGAACTGATAGAATGGAACTAGGTGGGAAGTTAGATATTAGTCCATTAACTGTCAGTTGGTCAAGTTTTTAAACTAATAGAATAATTATTTAGAAGATTCATTAATAAGACCAAATTTGTCTGCAAATATAAATATTTTGATATACGCCATCTTAGCTTTGACCAAATAAAAACAGATTCGAGTTCCAAATATGACTAAATTACCTCCCCCAAACACTTTTTGCTTTTTATAAGATTCTTTTTTTATTTTACATAACTTTTGCTAGCAATATTTACGAACAATATTTTTTTCAATAGAGATGTGGTACTTACAACACAGACTTTGCCTATTTTGTATATCTTTACGAGTAGATACAAAATATATTCTAACCTGTATTTTTTGACAATAAAGGTCTTTTATAAGAAATCTTCAAAATCCTATACCCTTATTAAATTTTGTTATGACTTATTCCATTTACTTTTAAAAAGAGCGTAGACTTTCGTGAAACTCCTCCAAAAACCAACAGGATTAGTCATTTATTAACTGAAACCACCATTTTGGAAAAAATAATATTTTTGTATTTTACAACAATTTCCGTAATCCGGCCTGGAAAATATTTGGCTGTAACCTAAATTTCTAAGTAACACTTTAGCAAAACTACATAAAATAGCTCCTGCTTAGATTAAGTAATCACTAAATAAAACCAAATCAACTGGTTTGTTAAGAAAGTTTAATAATTAGAGAAGTATTGAAAATATCTCCAGTGATATAACAAAGAAATCAAAACAATAAATTTAGATAAGTACTAACATATGCTAGCTATAGTCTATAACTAAAATTTCAATATAAATACACTACAGTGAATACTTTCGTCTTAGTCTACGTAGTGCAGAGTGCGGAGATCCAGCTTCAAATAAAGGCCTTTCATACACACATTCATTCATCATTCACCTCCACTTCGGGTATTCCATTTAATTGGGGACCAGTGTTGCCAGGCCACATGGAATCACAAACTCGTCCTAACTAATGTCACAATAACTGATCGACAAATGGATATGTTACAAAATAAACATTTCAAGCAATAAATATATCTTTAAAAATCTTATTCATTCGGCAAAAGCAGCTCACATCCTTGTTTAGTCTGGACTTCTGCATGAACTGGCAACACTAGAGTACCTATAGGAAGGTAGGAATGTGGGTCCGGTAAGCAATGGAATGTCCGAAAAGAGGTTTTACTAAAGAGATTTTGATTAGCCGCTCTTGAATAGCAGTATTGCCACCTGGCCTAAGTAGAAGTAAATGAAGTGACGGGTTTCATGTGTTACATATGAACCAAAGTTGCGGCCGACAATGCAGTGCCAAGTTGGGTTGTATTTTTTGTCAAATTCTTTCTTAATGAAAGCTGCAATGTCCTGGAAATGAGATAAAAAAGTTTAAATCCCTTTAAGAAAAAACGACATGTTAATAGAGATGAAATTTAAAGAAACTGATACTAAGTATGTATTTCTAATGAGATTCAATAAAGAAAAACGTTTGCAACAAAGAATGGATCTGTTTGTAATTTAATTTATTGTATACTTATAAATATAGGAGTCAGGTTATAAGTATATATTGTCAAGTTATAAGTTTATTTAATTACCTTTTCAATGTTGAACTTCTCGAGCGCCTGTGTCGCGCAGTCCACAGCATCCTGCTGCATCTCTTCGCTCATGTCGGCATTCTTGATCACCGCTTTGCGGTCGCACATCTTGTCTGTATAGCTGAAAAAGCCACTTCAAACCTTTGACATCGCTCAATTATACACAAAACACGCAAAAACGACTAACACCGCGAAATTAGATTTATATTTCCGCCAACGTCACCTCTAGGCAACCACTTCTCGCGCGCCAAATAAGTCGAGTGTGTAGGCAAATAGATATGCACATCCTATGCTGTGAGGTTATCAATTCAACGCACCTCTGACTTCATTAGCTTTCCACATGCGAAAAACACACCATTGATTGTTTATGTTCAATAGCGGATGCTAAAAATAACTTCTAAAGGTCAGGCGGGAATCTAGCCACCGCGCGCCCTTTATGAATTTACTAACCCACTGAATCCCGGATTTATTAACTAAAAGATCCCCTATATCTATATATATTTTTTAATTTACCTTATCGATTCGTGTACTGCCTGGGACGGTTTTTTCGTTATTATTCTAACAGTAGCACTAGCGTTTATGCCCGTCATCAAAAAATTTAGAAAAGAAGTTTTTAAATCAATCGTGATAAACCAAGAATCAACAAAGATAACGATATTCCAATACTATAAGGGTTATCACCATAGAAACATTGAAATTAAATCAATAAAATTACTTTAGTACACATTTTTGCAAATGTTAGCGAAATATGTAAACTGCGACGACTTTAGTTTATCACTTTCTTGCGAAAAAAACAGCTAAATTTAAGAAAATTATATCCAGATAATAGCAGAAACTTAAATTTAATAAATTCGCACAATAAAAATATTTATTACTCACTTTTGCGTCGGTCTTTGAACAAATTCTCACGTAATGATTTTGATACCGGAGATTCTTTGCCTACTTTCTAGAGGATTCCTTCAAAGGCTTCTTTCAGCAGAGAATGCCTCGCATTGCGCTAGAGGGCGTTCGAAATTTAAAATTCGTTCGAAAATTAAATAACATTAAATTATTTTTTTTTATATTTGGCAATAGAAATACATTCTAATTAAATATTTTCGCCATTATATTACAAAATAAGATACTTATGGAATATGTACATATATTTTGTCACATAATATTACCTAAGTAAAATATTAACAAATGTATATTTAAAAAAATGCTTTCCTTTCAAAATTATATTAAAAAAAATACTTAAATAATAAAAGGTAATTATATTTATGATAATAATAATTATAAATATCATTATAACTTATATATAGTACATATAATTCATTTAACTATCCGAACTAACAACGCTCCTTTTCGACCATTTTAAGTTTACCTATGTGCCGTGCCTCAGTCGCCATCTTTGATAAGTCAAAAACTGCCGAATAAAGAAAGCTCGTGTACCTGAAACAAAGCTATAATATTGCAAAATTCAGCCTATTTTATTATTATAGAAATTACATATTAAACAAATAAATATGTCTGGCGGTAGTGGCGGTAGCAGGAATGAGTGCAGAATATACGTTGGTAACTTGCCCCCTGATATAAGGACAAAGGACATCCAAGACCTATTTTATAAATTTGGCAAAGTAACATTTGTTGATTTAAAAAACAGAAAGGGACCACCATTTGCTTTCGTCGAATTTGAAGACCCACGGTAAGTGTATAGTACAAAATTTCCGATGCTATTTACCATGAGAATGTTGTTTATTTAATTAAAGTAAGTAGGTACCTACTACAAAAAAAATTACTAAACAGTTTTCCATGAAATCCCAAAAAAGTATTAATAACACTTATTTTATGGTTGAATCTTTAGAAGCTTTAAACTTCACAAGTTTTCTTTTGAATTGGCTGCTATTTTCATGCTAAATATTGAGGGTATCAAAAAATTAATTTAAAAAATTAAAGTCTAACTACTTGATGTCCAAAAGTCTTTTGTATATTTGCATAAAGTAATTGTTTTAATTGTTGTGAGCTATTTAAAATTCAATGTCTTTAATTTTTTAAATGATTACAATAACACTGGAATTTTTCACTCCAATCTATTGTATTATATCTTTTTGCTTAGTTAATATTTTTGATGACTTTTACTAAATATATATAGCCATATACTACACTACTAGTAAACTATTTTAATAGAAATAATAAATAACATTCAAACACTATGTCTCTGTCTACGCTGCTGCAGAAATGTGGTCAAAATTAATATGTATTACCTATGTATATTTTATGTAATGTGTGTTATATTTGAATTTACTTTTGCTTTTAAAAACTAGGTTACTTCAAACTCTATAGAAACATGAGGTTTGGTATTTATTATTTGGAAATACCAATGTCTTATCTATATAAGGATGATACTGATAAGATTGTGACATTATATTTGACAACACATTTGGCTCAGTTTGTAGTGACCTTACTTATTGTACCAGCGGTCCCGGGTCTGAGTCCCGCTGGGGGCATTCATTTGTGTGATGAGCATGAATGTTTGTACTCCAATCATGGGTGTTTACTGTTTATATTTAATAATATGTATATATTTAAAGTTATATATATGTGGTGTATGAACTATCTGGTATCCATAACACAAGCCTCGTAGCTTACCATGGAACTAGATGTGTGTGAATGTACCAACATATTTATTTATTAATTACATATCATACTGTTCATCTATTTATTGTCAAGTATGAAATAATTGTTGAAACATTTCTGAAAATTAGTCATTCAATTTTTAATAATATATTTTTTTTATTATTCATTGTTAGAAATTAAACATATCAGAAAATTATAATTTTAAGAATTATGATTATATTGAATAAGAGCTTTTTGTAAACAGATATAGTTTATGGAACTTATGTAAACAACATAAATAATCTCTAAAAAAGACAATACAATAATCATAAATATGATAAAATTCTTATTATTTATTATATAACAAAATAAACACATGATTTATAAAATATTGTTGCTTATAATCTTTTACATACTTAAATGAAACTAAAAATAGTGGTAACAAGAGGTTTATTATAATTAATTATATGTAATGTAATATTGTACAAAGTTCTATGCAAAATGTAATTGACACCTTCAACATACATTTTTGAGTAATTAAATGTGTATTTTAATTAGCAGCATATTAAATAAATTTTCATTTGCATTCTTTTGAATGTGTGTGATTATAATCACAATAGAACTGAGACCTTGTGAACATACATTATGTATAATTTGCCCCGAGAGCCATTGTTTTTATTTTGGAGTAACTAAAACAAAATATTCACAAAACTTTTGTATTTATAATGTTAAAAACATAACATACAGTAATTGTGAAATATTACTGTATATAATTTAACAAATTATGAAACAAATTGAAAGACCTTGGTATTAGTACTTATAAATAATATTTGAATATTTTTTACGGATTTCTGAATAAATTTTTGGTTGGATTTAGATAAGACTTGTCATGACGTAGTGCTTGTGAATTTATGTAGGATACTTATATGATTTTCATGGAAAAATAGTTAAACTTTAAGGTTATTATCTATACATATAATAAAATCGGACTAAGCTGAATCTATACATTAAATATTTTTTGGAAAGTTTTATTGAATGAACATTATTAATGTGTTATGATATATTATAATATGTTGAATCAAAATTAATAATGATGAACATTATTATGTATACCAAGACTAAATCTATAGTTTTTAGAATTTTTATCTGTCTGTCTGGAAAGTAATCAAGAGAAAAGCACTGGTCAGATTTTGATGAAATTTGGTATGATGAAAGCTGGTTATCTGGATCAACATATAGGATACTTTTTACTGCGAGAAAATATCTCACCTCTGAGAAATCTATACTAAACACTAAAACGTAACGTGAGTGCTAGTTTTAACTATAAATTATTTAGTGAACACTTCACAAGAAACTTCTCTACAAGACTTTAGGTCTATATTGAAGCCAGTCATCCAAAATATCATGTAAGATACTAGTTTGTTGCAATAAGTTATTAAAGAAAAGGGATAGGATTATTTTTGACTTTGTCTTATGTCTGTCTGTTCAAGGTATGCATTGAATTGAATAAATATATATATATATATATATATATATATATATATATAATATATTCAATTTATAAGTTGACACATATATATGTATAGTGTAAGATGTAAGTGCTGGCACACTTTCCACATTAGACAGTATAATTATCAAATCACTACTGTTGTGTTCTATTTAACTATACAATATTTAATTAAATAAAATTATTTTTTTTTTCTATTTAACTTGTGGCTATTAATAAAGAATATTTTACAAGTTATTGTGTGTCGTTTAGTTTTATACCAATGCGTGCATACATCGATAACCGATTTGGTTAACCGAAGGTTGTCGTGCTAAGCAACCTTTGAGTTGCCTTTACAAGGTCCTTTGAGCCGAATCGAATAAATTCTGTCTAATACTTTCTTATATTTTCCAAATATTTGATATTTTAAATAAAACTAAATCTTTTCGAATTTTTCCGCGGATTTATTTTGATTTTTGGTTCTTGACGTTTCTCGTGGCGAAGGGAGGGTTTCTTCAAACACCATGCAAGTTTTATTTTTAAATAATCCCTGTCTGTTGATCGCAGTGACGCGGACGACGCGGTGCGGGCGCGCGATGGCTATGACTATGATGGGTATCGGCTGCGCGTGGAGTTCCCGCGTGGTGGTGGTGGCGGCGCGCGCGGCGGTCGCTCGCAGCCCGAGCGCGGGCCGCGCCCCGCCGCGCGCGGCCCGCCTGCCCGCCGCTCCGAGTACCGCGTGCTCGTCACCGGCCTGCCGCCCTCCGGCTCGTGGCAGGTAAGACACACGACACATGACACATACGTACCATCATCGTCAACCCCTTTCACTGTTGGACAGGTCTCTCCACGTCTGTACGGTGTACCAGTCACATGACGCAGATCCTCCCACCATCTAGCAGGAGGATATCATACAATGCATTTTCCCAAGCGTAGTCTCCACTCGAAAACCTGCTTGCCAACTTCTAACGATTGTCATTTCTTATGCAGATCGTCTGAGAGCAACATCGATGACGGTATTCTGCGTAATGAATTCGTTTCAAAAATTGTCTTTCTGGTAAATCTCGAGCATGCATCTTTCATAGTACACTGAAGCTGAATCAGCTTTGACATGAGTATCCACGTGTTGGCGCCGAAGGTTATAACAGACACACATATTATAAAGAAGTTAAGTTTTTACGTAGAGGGCAAATCGCTAAAACTACTGATCAGATTTTGTAAGTTTTTTCATATCAAGCTACATAAAAATGTGTCTGGAATCATAATAACTTTAATTGAAATCCGAAAAAATAGGCCGTTTCATCGAAGCAAGAGTATAAAGCGCAAGCAAAACCCACACACGAGGATTAGTACACTAATGATGCACTGTCTCAGGATCTTAAAGACCACATGCGCGAGGCGGGCGACGTGTGCTTCGCCGACACCTTCAAGGACGGCACCGGCGTGGTGGAGTTCCTCCGCCACGAGGACATGAAGTATGCCGTCAAGAAACTGGATGACTCGCGTTTTAGGAGTCACGAGGTATGTGTGATACTAATGGATAGTTTGGTTTCGATGGTTGATTAATCACCTTCAAAGTATTGCTATTAGAATTTCACACAATTTTAATTCTAATTTCAGGGTGAGGTATCATATATCCGCGTGAAAGAAGACTATGGCAACGGTGGAGATAGAGACAGGTGAGAAATTGATACATTTAAGGTTGTGATTCGTGCAATCTAAAAACTTGTTTATTATATTATGTATTATTTAATTGTGTGTATGTTTTTTTAATGTGTAACCCGAATAGATGTTTACTTTGCACCTTTAGGTTTATTTTTTACAAAATAAGCAATACTTATCAAAGAATGTCTTATTTTAAATACGATTGTATTTTAAGGCCTTTAAGAGCCGATCCACACGGTAGTTCTCTGTCTGGTAAAGTATTTTAGTTCAAGAAACGTTGCTGTAGTGTGACACGACCGGAGTCTTATTTATAATGTGAACACACTCATTGTTTCTTGTATAAAATACTTTACAAGACCGATGTAGAATCGAAAACGAACCGTGATTGGCACTATAATGTATGTGGATCGAACCTAAGTACAATTTCAGAGTTAAATGATTCGATGTGTGTTGTGTCGGTGTGTCAGATCGCGGTCGTTCTCGCCGCGGTCGCCGACGTACGCGCGGCGCCGCGGCTCGCCCACCTACTCGCCCGTGCGCCGCTCCTACTCGCGCTCCGCCTCGCCGCAGCGCCGCAACTACTGAGGTACATCCACCACTCACCACACCACCCACCACCCACCACCCCACACCACCACACTGAAAATACAAACAGCGCCATCTATACATACATACTTTTTGACTAATCACTATTTTTCAATTGCCATTAACAGTATGGGAATTTAATTTTAGATGAGAATATTTTTCGTTGCGTGCTTTATAACTTTATGCTTAATAATTTATATAATAGCACAAGACTAATAGCGTTAACACGAAAAATATGAGGTGTTGGGAAATTGGCTCATAGGTTTGTGTGTAACAAAATGTAATCTTTATGGAAATGTCTATCGAAGCTATTACTGACATGTCTGGCTGTATTTTATATTTAATTTATAAATTATTTTATTCTTTTAAAGTTCACAATATTTATTTTAGTATCGTTAAATATATTCTGCATGAAATCATATTTAACACACTTGTACTGCGCACTGCAGCACTAGATTGCAAATTAACTGCCTTTAAATACTGCTGTAATGCAAATATTGAGATTTTATATGCTTGAAAGAACTTAATCTGGCAATCTTTTAAGTTTTGAGTTCTTATCCATTTGTATAGGAAACATGAACTGTACTACGCTTTGTTAGATGAAAGCAAGATTTGAGTTTGTGCTTTTGATTTTGGTACATTTGAAAAATAGTGTTTGTCCAAAAAACTACTAATTATTATCATTAAAATATTTTAAGGGGCGTTACACATTCACTCATGACACAAACACTAACAACAATACATGTAATTCTTACCTTTTTTATAATACACTAAATAAATTTAAGTTTACGCATACATATAATTGTATAGTCGGTAGATTACAAACATAGTATAAAAAGTAAAACGATTCAATTGTAAAATTTGACCTGTTGACTAATGTTATGTACAAGCCTTGCTTCCACAGTTTGCTTGGATTGGATTATATTTGATGGATTTTGGATACACACGGACACTTGGACAGAGGGATACACATTCATAGACAAAATGTTCCGAATTGGGATACACAGATTTACATGTGGATTTTAGTGATCATTTTAGTTGATATTACTTTTATTTTTGTTTAATTTGTATATGTAAAAATGTTTTAATTTATGTAAATTATGTTAAAATCTATATGACTCCATTTTTAATCTTGGAGCGTCCAGCGGATGGATTGGGAGGCACATTACGTTTGTTTGTCTTGCACTGGATAGGAATGAAATTAAAGGATCGAAGAATTGAATATGTATACACAGATGGATAGACGAAGGAAGTATACATTCCACTGTCCAGTGAAAGTATATGATTTGTTTGGGACTATCATGCCATGGGCTTGGTGTTGTGTGGTGTGTGGACACTTTTTATGGACAATGTATACCCTATTACAACAGGATCCCAGAAAACATTCAAAACGCCTCTATCGCCAAATTAAAAAAATATATATTAAAGAATGTTTGTTATAATGGTTATTATACAATTAATAATTTTATAGAAGATGACACGCCCTGGAAATGATGTGATCGCCTCCAGGCTACTTCCATTTTAAAGAAATATTGTAAATTATAATTTGGCTCATAAAAAGATAAAGTAATAATTTCAGTCCCACTGAGTTTCTTTCGCCAGTTCTTCTCAGGTCTGAGGCTTTTTCTTTCTTAACTGGTAGTAGACTCATGACGTTCAGTAAAAAAAAATTAATAATAAATTGCTGAATATTTTTTGAATTTTGTGATACGTGGCGAGCGTTGCTCGGGCGGGAGCTAGTAGTGTGTAGAAGTGAACTGAGGCTGGTGTTTTCAGCAGCTGTGGGCGGCGGCGGCGGCGGCGGCGCGACGCTCTATCATGCTATTTTTGACAACTAAAAGCTACCATTTCATTCGATTATGACCACAGATTATATAAACCTATGTAAAGATTTAACAACCATCCCTATATATATATTTTTTATCTGTCAAATATTATGTTTTTGTTTCACAATGACTTTATTGGCATCCAATAATTTAAGCGTTTTAATTGTTGATAATGAATTGTATCAATTTTTATGGGCTTGTCGAAAGTGTCATGATAGTTTTAATTTGTAAGTGAGTGGTTCATTTCGGTCGCGACGTACTGACGACCATCGCCCTTTTTATATATATATATATATATACGTTATACATGTTATTATTTTATAAAGTTACAAATGTACTTGCTCGTGGACTTAACCTTTGTGTGACATATCAATGTTATTGCCCAATAAAAATCAATTATCTTTAAATGTTTACGTCAATTTCGATTTAAACGCTTATAAGTTCATATCTAATGCTACTATATCGCCAGTCTTTATAAGAAAAGAGCAACTGAACGTGTACGGGAAAGTGATAGAAACAGCGTTTGTTTCCCTCACTCAAGGAATATATTTTATGGGCATTGGCAATATAGGAGTATTAGATATGCACTTGTAGCCAATCGATTTCTGTAAATTAACGCAGCGGTTCCCAAATGGTGGTCCACGGAACCCTAGGATTCCTGAGAAGAGTTATAGGGGTTCCAACTCCGTCTGACAGTTAAATAAAACATTGTCAGACATGGGTTAATTTTTTGGTACAATAAATATTATTATAAATATTAATATTTTTCATTTATGGTTTGTCATTTCAAGTCAAACAAGAAAGTATTCTACCTACAACATAACCAGTTTGGTTATTATCAAAATGGTGTTCTGTTAAAAAAATTGTGATCAACTAGGGTTCCATGGCAAAAAAATTGGGCACCGCTGCATTAACGAATTGAAGTATAATTAAATATATATAAAATTGAAAGCGATCCTATATCGTATGTAAGAGTACCGATCCTGTATCCACACACCGTGTAATGTATAATTAAAAGTATTTTCTTTTGTTTCATCCACTGTGGATTGGACTCGATGGATGTGCTGGATGGTGAGGAGCGTGATAGCCGTAGGCGGCGATAGGATAGGATAGGACGATACGGATAACCGATACGGATAACGGATACGGATAGAGGGCGCGCTCTCGACGTGCGGATGTTGCTTTTCTTTTTCGGATCGGATCGGAAGGACCGGATAGCCGGGATCGGACGGATCTGGGTATGATTTTGAACAATATTTGCCAAATAACTTATGTTGAGTGCACGCTCCGGATAATATGTTTGTTTTTTGATATTTTTGAGATACCCTTAACTTACTCACAGTTTATTTGCTACTCGGCGCCTGCGTCTGTCCGTAGCCGGGCAGGTTGGTTGGTCCTAACTCGATGTCAGCATGCTTAGTTGAGCGCTTCTCCCGTACCGACTCACTCACTGACCGACCGACTCACTCGCCGACCGACCGACTCACTCACTGACAGACCGACTCACACCACTCACACGTACACACGTGGCGAGTGCGCGGGGGGTGCCAGCCGACTCTGACTGATGAATCCACGTATAATGTAATGTTTTTTTTAATTGGTCGTTGTATCATGTAATTATTGTATTGACGTTGCGAAACGTTTGATGTGTGTATTAGCACTACTGGAACTGCATTCCAAAGACCAACACAGTTTGATGGATTTAATAAATTACCTGGAAATTTTATTGTTGTTTCATTTCTTGTTACGGAGACCACAGTTCTTACTTTTCTTGTACATAATTATTCCATTTTTATATTGACTCATATCTTCAATATGGAATATGCGAGTGATTTAAATAAAGGTGATTTTTTTTTATAATCTTTATTGCTTCTGAATTAAGCCTGTATTTGTTTATGTAATCGCTTTTTGATTAGGAAATAATTATTAAAAAGTGCAAAAATAGCTGGGAAATTCAAAGTACATGGCTGAAACGCAACGCTTTTGATCAGACTGAAAATCTCAAAGTCAAAGTCTAAGAACTGACTCAGTGTTGACAAAATCGCTAAATTTGCAACACTGGCTGTGTTCTTCCGTATAGACGTATGACTTGACGCCAAATGAGCCAAAATGGCGAGCGTTTAAAGAATACTTATAGGGTTTTTTTTAAGATTTTTTTATATTAAATTTAATTTTTTTTGAGTTGGATATTTTTTAACATTTGTAAGCTGTTGTATAAAAAATAAATAAAAATCACGCATATTTCCTATTCAATTCTCTTGGATGGCTACAAAGCGTGTCGGTTGAGCACTGATTACTTCGCCAATGTCGTGTAGAATGGAGATTGGAGAAGACACGAAGGAGATTAGCCGGTAAAATAACATTATTAAACTATATTATATAGTGTAAAAAAATATATTTACAAAAATATAAAACCCAACTGCGCAAAAAGTGAACTAAAAGTACATATGTATGTAAATCCTTTATAAACCTTAGGAGACTATTATTTAAATCAAAAGCCATTAAAAATGTAATGAGTAATTTATATTTATTTAAATAATATTAACAATACTAACTGTTACCACTTATTAAGTTGCTATAATTATAAATTGTATCTTTTAAAAAAAACTATCTTTTCCGAATATTTTGCGGATTTTTGCCCACACAAGGGTAATTGTGGGTAGACACTGTAACAAATATATAATGACGAGACGTCTACAACCTTAGTCTATCCCGTGACCATGATTGTTGTAAAACATTTGAAGCATCTGTAATTAAAAATCAAAATAAATCCGCCAAAAATCCGAAAAGATAGTTTTATTTAAAATGTCAAATATATCTAAAGAAAGTATTAAATTGTACCTTCATAAAACAAAACTGCTTATACATAATTATATTTTGAACCCCGAATGTATGGCGCAGACACCGAATGTTAAGTTTTCATAAGTTACTTGTCTGAAGCCAGCGTTCTCTATCATTGTCTTGAATTTTTCCTGAAAAGAAAATTGAATATTTATGAAAAATTAAATAATAAATATACAATAATAAATTTATAATAATTTAATGATAATTTGAAGAAAATTAATCGACTACCCTAAAGTTCTCTCTGAGACATCCAATCTATTATTTAAAAAATGTGTAATAATAATTACTTCATTGAAAAAAGTACATTAAAATTAAGTAAGTATAAATAAGGTATTTAAAATGGCTAATAATAAATATTTTTATATGAAAGAATTAAATGATTTTTTAAGAGAAATAAATTCACATTGATTTAGGCACATTTTGTATTAATTTAACTTTTGTATTAATCATACAAATATTAGGTAACTAGGTTTCTAAGACTGAAAGCAATAGATAGCTAGCTGTACGGAAATAATAATTGGGTTGGTTTTAACTGTCAGCAGTTGCTCAAGCAACAGAGCGCACAGGTGACCAAAATTATCTCACATAAGATTTTTGTGTACACTGTATAAATAATTATATTAAACTAACATTGCCCGCGGCTCCGCCTGCGTTCAGGTAACCAAAAACCAAATTCTTAGGTTTTACATATTAGTATACTCTTACAATGCAGTTTTTGTACTTTTTCTCACAAATGAGATAAAAAGTATCCTTTCTGTTGACCCGGATAGCCAGTTATCACCATACCAAATTTCATCAAAATTCTTCCATTGTTTTTTCCGTGATGCGGTAACAGACAGACAGACAAAAATTCTAAAAACTATAGATTCGGCCTCTGTATCGATAATAATGTCTATTTCAATAAGATTTCCAAAAAAATATTTAATGTACAGATTCGACTTAGTTACAATTTTATTATATGTATAGATGAAATTGCAATATAATATCTTCTGTGGAGACAATTCTCAGTGAGTTCGGCCGTCGTGTCTGTTTTTATTTTAATGTTTTTTATAGTTGTGCTTCAGCAGTGACACAAATATTATTATTCCTTACCTGGTCAGGGAACTGGCGGATGCTCTCGACGAGGTACTGATAGGCCTTCCACTGCCCTGCCACCAGCTGGCCCATCACCGGGATCAGTTGGAACGAGTACTGATCATACATCCTGGAATAAAACGTTATAGGTCTTTAACTATATTTAATTGTTCATAAAAAGCTCTGTTTTAAATATATTTTTTTGTCTTCGCAAAAAAAGTCCACAGTATAGCAGAAGCCAAAATATATTTAAGCTGTAATACAGAAGGTAATGACAGCAAATTCACTGGAAAAATCACTTTGAAACCATATAGTCAATCAATAAATATGATCTTTTATTTTTATTATTTTTGTTAATTTGAAATGTTTACTTATTTGATCTTGATACAACTTATTTATATTAACTTAATCAAATTTTTTAGGAACTAATGTTTTGTTTTGAACTTATTGGCATGACGTGAAAACCTTTAAAAAAAAGTACATTTATCTTTGATTTGTAAAAAAAATACCATTGCATAGTTTGATTCGGTAGCTGACTGAATTCTAGGCACATGAAGCGACCTCCGGGCTGCAACACTCTGTAAGCCTCTTCTAACACCTGTAAGTTCAAATCGGACCACTTATATTTGAAAGTTAGTATGTTTGTATATTTGTTACTCTTCCACGCTTAAACGGCTGGACGGATTTTGATGATATTGAGTGTCCAGATAGACCATGACTTGGAGTAACAGTCATACATAGGGCTAGTCATAATATTTTCTTATATTTACGCGAATATTTAACATTTTATATATAAAACTTATCTTTTCAGATAGTAAAGCATTCGAAACATCAGTAATCAGAACATAAAATGAAACCTCAACAAAAAAGATAGTTACATTTTAATACAGGCAGTGCCTAGGGACAAGAGGCTCGCCAAAAATAATAATTATATATACATTTTATACTTACATTTTATACTTACATTTTATACTTACATTTTATACCATTATAATTTATGAAGCGAACCTCCATAACATAGTGACTGACTGGCTACTAGTTCTCTAGTGTGTTTGTAAATGTCTAACCTTTACTCACTACATCACACAACAAAAGATTACATTCTGTAGGGTCTGTTTCCTTAGTAATTAAAATTAACCTACCTCACTATCGCAAGTATTAAAACACTCAAAACCATTTGCATTTAAAATATTAGTATTGATAGTAGTGATTTTAAATATAAGTTTTACAAACACAGGAAAATAAACAAAATCTGACTTGATAGTGCCAAGATAGGCAGTTTTATATTTTTATCATGAATGAAAATGAGGGTAAAAAATGCCAAAACATCGTCTATTTTAGACCTTTTTACGTCCCACTGACAGATTTCACATGTCTTTCAAAATATAGTTAGTAACTTCCTCACAATGGTTTTTCCTTCAATCAATCATGTTGTAAATAAATTGTACATATAAATATCAGAAATCAAGACCCAGGATTTGAACCTGCTTCTCTTTCTTTTCTTTCTTCACTTAGTTTTCCAAGCTAGGCGAGGCAGTGGTAGTCTACGAGTAATATTAAAGAAGCCTCAACATAATTTTTACCTTGTCAATATGAGTGCAGTTCCTTATACCAAAAGCTATGGTGTAAGCATTGTAAGAGTCATCGGGCAATGGCAGCTGTTCTGCATCGGCACACAACCAGTCTATATCTACTGGAGAGTCTTTTGTGTAACCCTGTCTGGGAATGGGAATGTTTTAACCAAAAACGATTGTAATCCTAATTATATTCTTTATATAGCCAAAGTATATAGACAATAGAATTTATAACGTGTTAGAATGTGGCAACTAGCATTAATAAAATGTCTACAACACACAGTAATCATAACATAAATAAGTTGATAAAACCAAATAATTTAGTTATGTAAAAATTTACATTTTTGAAGTTCTTTTCATAGTAATACCTACTTTTCTGCTCGTACTTTTCCTACATCCAACATAGACTGGTTGATGTCACTCACAGTTACACTGCTGCGCTTTTCTGTTGCAGAAATACCTTTATTTCTTAAGTAATTTATATATCTGAATGTTATATCACCTGAAACATAAAAATGTTATCTGAAATTACTTAATATAAAAACGAAATTCTCAATATTTAATTTTTTCAAATTTTTAAACTGCTTATACCTACAATTAATTTTCAATACAATGTTTTTAAATCACAATATTGAATTTTTTTTTATAAATCAAGTGTAAAATAAGGAGGATACCTGTGCCACCTGCCATATCCAATAATTTGGTTCCAGGAGTTGGAGCTAATCTCATCATGAAGATATCCTTCCACACTCTGTGTATACCGAAGGACATAACATCATTCATCATGTCATACTTATCGGCTACTGTTTCAAATACATGATGCACTGATAGAAAATAAACGTGAAATTTAATTGTTATGAAAATATTTTCTCATATTAGCTTTAATTTTTATAAAATATAATCTACATAATTACAAGAAATATGTAACAAAAATCAATTAAGTTCAACATAGTGACATATTACAACGTAATATTAAAAGGTATATCTATTTCTAACCCTTTTTAGTTTTCTCATCTTCGTCAACAGTTTCAAATCCAAAATGAGTTTTTCGTTTTTCGTCGTCTTTTGAAGCGGCTTCTGCACTAAAATTTCGTGCCTTCAAAAGTCTTTGGCATGGTTTAGGGATGTTAACAAAACGTAACAGTGATCTTCTTATCGACATTGTACAGATTTTAACGGACGAACTCTGTTATTATTTAATAATTTTCATTTGAAAATACAAACAATACATATAACCTAAAATTACCGCAAACAGCTGTTAAGTGTCAAAAAAATATACAAGGATTGTCAAATGTCAAGTCAATCTCTGTGGCGTTTCGTTCTTGCTTTGAAAGAAATAAAATTATTTAAAGTTATAAAAATATGTTAAAAATTTTTTTTACTACAATAGCTTAAATAAATTAGCGATAAACGATAAATATTACTAAAAATTTTATGTTTTTTTTACACATTTTGTATTTTTTACATATATATGTACCTTAGATAATATTATTGGAATAGATAAGGGTTGATAAGGATTAGGTGTAACTTTGCTAATCTCAAGAGTCAAGTAGAAATGTCGGTAAATAATAATAACAATTATTGTTCTATTTAAAACTGTAAAAACAAAATGACATCGAATATGAAAAGTGAGAACATTTCTTTTCATCTATAAGAAGTAGTTTCTCTTCTAAAGATAAATTAACTAAATTTTCAGTTAAGTAAAAGTTGTAAATAAACTTCAAATTGCAGATTCATTTTTTCCTAAAGTACAATACAATGTACCACACATCCGGCAACGTTTTCACTGGGATTGTGGTGTTACGTGCGTCCTGATGCTACTGCCAGAGGACAAGAGACTAGCATTTTTAAAGAATTTCTCACAAATTTGTTTAGAGGAAGGGTTTGGGCAGAGCACTTGGACCATTGATCTGTGTTATTTATTGAAAAGGTAATTTGGCGTACATTGTGTTAACATGACATTAAATGTTGAGACAAATGCAACATACATATAGCTTAATGACCCGCTTTTTTTTAATTTGGCCTGTCCGCTTGTACATACGGTTTGTTGATAGACAGGGTACACTAAAGTAATATATTATGCTCTTAATAAACAGTTAAGGAAAGAATCATTTCTGACAGTAAAGAGAGCTTCAGTTGCAAAAGTGACACTACGAAAAAATATAACGGAAACCATCGCTCGGATCATAATAAAATATATCTACTTTATATTTCAGATTTAATATAAAACACTGCATGTACACGACGAGGCAGACGCCTCACCTAAAATGTTTGACTAATTTTGATAAAAGTAAAATTATGGTAAGCCATCGGATAAATGTTAATTTTTTTTATGGAAATATTTTTTTATGTCACTTTGAGTTATTTTTACTTAATAAAATAACAAAAATAAATAATAAAGAGCATTTGTTCTTCTTTATCGCAGAAATGGTAGCACCGGATCGTGATTTTTTGTGTAGAGATAAATTATGAATCGGATAATTATAGTCTACTTTGTATGCCCAATGCGTTAATTAAATCCCACGCGATAATATTTTATTGCAAAATATTGCCCAAAGTGTGACTTTAGTCAAAATCAAAAACACAAAAAAAAACTAGCATTGCCCGCGGCTCCGCCCGCGTTCTGATGACCGAAAACCAAATTCTTAGGTTTTATATATTAGTATACCCTTACGTTGCCTTTTTTTCTCAGAAATGAGACATTTTCCTGCGGTAAAAAGTATTCTATATGTTGACCCGGATAACCAGCTATCACCATACCAAATTTTATCAAAATCCCTCCAGTAATTTTTCTGTGATGCGGTAACAGACAGACAGACAAAAATTCTAAAAACTATAGATTCGGCCTCTGTATCGATAATAATGTTTATTTCGATAAGGTTTTCCAAAACATATCTAATGTACAGATTCGGCTTCGTTACAATTTTATTATATGTACAGATTTAAATTGAAAAATAATTTCTTTTGTCACAGGAAGCTGAACGAATAGCCATGAGATTTTCAAACGCAAAATCTTTAGGAATAATAGTAAAGAACGGGACTCTTTCCATACAAGATATCATTTCCCATGTATATTATAAGGGACCAGCCATCGTGTTGGTGGATGCGGCATTATTATCTTGCAATTGGTGTAAATATAATAAGATGTCATCTGAAATTAGGTGATTAGTAAAATATATTTTAAAAATATTTAATTAAAATATATTGTATCCATTTTAAACTTTAACCTTTAAAATTTGAACCGCCAGTTTAATTAAAATAGACTGATACTGTGTACTGCATGCGATGTCAAATTTTAATCTTCAAAAAAATAATGGATCTCGCGATGAATTAAACTTTCAGTTACGACCTGGTTAAAACAAAAAGTGTGAAATACAGACATACTGACATACACATAATACATACTGTCTTAACATATGTAGTACAGTAAGATACTCGTATATCATCTTTCTTTCTACCTAGTGGAGATGAGGAGACTTAGACTGATATTTTAATTTTCTAATGTAAAAACTATATCAATAGTTGTTCTAATCGGTCTACTGGTGAGAGAAAACAGGTTTCTTCCGTTGGTCTACCCGCTACCGTCTGCTATTATAAATATGAAAATTTGTTTGTCACTCCTTTTGTTTGGATGATATTTATTATACAGATAGCCTCTGATGTGCAGTAATAGATATATAGGCTACTGTTAAGCACCTAGGGACGCACATGAGCAAAGCGAGCATGTGTCCGTAGTCAGTAAGCAAATTATCAATTTTTATAGGTAACATATACATTTAAATTTAACTTTATCTTGGAAAACCGAGTGAAGTGGGTTCAAATCCCGGGTCTCTGTTATTTTCATGTGCGAATCATTTCCAACATGATTAGCACTTGTCTTATGTTAAAGTAAAACATCGTGAGGAGACCTGCATGTCTGAGAGAACCTAGCAAGTTATCGAAAGACATGAAGTCAGCCAACCCGCACTTTTTTTTTTAACGTTGGGAAATGCATTTACGCACGACGTGTGGGACTCACCGGCGTAATACAGCCAGTACTACCCACTAAAACCCAACAAAACCTTCCCCCGTCTTAATGGGGCGTCGCAGGATCGCTTACGCATTCAACTACGACGCCCCGACGGCAGGTCTGCCAAAGCAGACCACCACAACCATGGGGTTGCTCCACAGTCCACTCTGCTATCAGAGAAGTACCAGGAGCAACCCGCATGGTACACCGCCCCCCGAAGAGGGCCACCTCCCACCGCCCACCGAAGTGGGCAACCTCCCTGTGCGTTTCTTAGCTTCGCGCCCGGTTGGATTGCCGGGCACTACTGAGCCCCCCCACCACGACAAGGTGAACGCACGTTGGGGGGGAACCCGCACTTGGCCAGCGTGGTGGACTATGGCCTAATTTCCCTCGTATAAAAGGAAGGCCCGTGGCCAGTAGTGAGACGTTAAAAAGGGCTAAATACAAGTATATTTTAGGCGTATATTCGGAGGGCGCTACCGCGGGCACTACGTGGTGGTGGTCGGGTGGGCCGGCGCGCTGCTGTACCGCGACCCAGCGCGGCCGCGCGCGCTGTGCGCCGCCGCGCCCGCGCGCCTGGACGCCGCGCGCGCTGTAGGCACCGACTGCGATGTTATACTTATATATGATGATTATAAATAATTTTATTTATTGATTTGATATTTATTGATTTTAGTTTTTTTAGTTGTTTAGCTTTTTGTTTTTCTCATTTTCATTATGGTCTGCTTCATATTTGTATTGTTTAATTTGTGGAAACTTCATTGGTTTATGTGTTATCTGTTATTACTAATTATTTATGTAATATCGTACTGTTTGTTTCCCTAAAATAAATAATAAATAAAATAAATTTGTGATTTGTATTCTTAGGCGTTACCTATCAGTATTGCTAGGTTAAAAACATTTTATGTTATTATATTTTTAGAATTATTTTATTAAGTGCTCATTGTACATAGACTAAATAATAACGTCCTCATTTCATGTTATTACTGCGACCGCTTTTCATTTTAATAAAATATTTTTTACCTGTTTTTTTTTTTTTGTTACCAACATAAAACCGATTAAATTGTAAAAAAAACTATTCACCCTATTTCCTCGATCGAGTGCCTCCTTATAGATTTTACAGTAATCTAGGTTTCTATCACCTTCTCTGTGTACTAAATTTCATACAAATTCATCCGGCCGTTTCAATGTGAAGAAGTAAAATACCATAGTACATAATAAAGACATACAATTCTTGTAAAAAATACTGACAATGTAATAACACTAAAATTAACCCCCAACACAAAAAGAAACTATATCTAATTTTTTTATTTTATATAATATATATTATATAAAATAAAAATTTTATATATTATATAAAATATATATTTTATATTATATATATAATACCCATTAAAAAAAAACGAAAGTAAGTTTATATCCTCTATTTTTTGTTTATTTAGCGATACCCGACATTACAATAGCAACTCACCCTTTTATTTCACACGTTTTAACGTTTAGTATGTATAGATTCCTCAGAGATAAGATACCTATTTTTCCGCCGTAAAAAGTATCCTATATATTGACCAGGACAACCAACTATCATCATACCAAATTTTATCAAAACCTTTTTAGTGGTTTTCTTGTAATGAGTTCCCGACAGACAGGCAGACAGACAAGAATTCTAAAAACAATAGATTCGGTCCTTTCGATAACAATGACTTTTTCAATAATATTTTCCAAAAAATATTTAATGTAAAGTTTCGACTCAGAATTTTATTATAAGTATAGATTACGAAGGTAACATACAACAGGCACAGATAATTATACACATTAAACTTAAAGCGCCGCTTTTTTTTGCGTCGGAGGTTAAAAGACACCGACTGGACAAGTCGATTGACGAGTAATATGTGTTATAAAAAAAATACATTTTTTTTAAATATGCAGGTATTTTTTCTAAGTATTTTTATACTTATTTTAATTCCTGTATACTGTATCTGTAATACATGTAGTAAACGTTATCTACATATTTAAAAAAGTAATTACAAAACTTTCTTGTCTATGCTTCGGGATTCCCAAAAAGATACTGAGATTACTCCGATTTCATTTCAGTTAGACTCTATTACTATTGTATTAAGTCTACTTTTGCAATGTTTACTATTTTAAATTAGGCCTATTGAAATAGGGCTGTGTCATCAGGATAAGCTTATAAAATAAATATTCAGTTGGACTTTTTCATAACATTGATCATTTCTATTTAATTTGTATTAGTTTTAATAATTAATTATGATTATAAACATTTAATATAATTTGAATTTAATAAACTTTAGATCTACTGAACTGCTATATAAAGTAAATTAATTTGTCGTATAGTTCGTAGTAAATAGTAGCATAGGTAACCATTTATACCCATTATGACATTTTTGTGGATTTTTTGTTATGAAAATGTTAAAGAATTTGTGAGCTTGTAGGTTGTAGGAAGGTTCGCATTAATTTGTGTTATTAATTCTATTATTTGTTCATTAAACAACACCATCTAGTAATTATTTTGAAATGAGCTCATAATTTGTCAGTCACCATTTAAAAAACTACGAATTAAAATATTTGCTAATTATACATTTTGGTGAATACCCTCGGAACAATGTCATTATAAGTTACGTAAATGCTTAGCTATTGTTTTATATAAATACGAGTTATACGGATATGTTTTTATCACTCAAGATCAGAGCGCATCTGCAATATCCCGAGATGTATTTGATATGTATCGTCATACTTTGCTTATTTATTGAAGTCTATATGGTAAGGAATTACTCAAAGCCAGTAATGTAAATCACTTTAAATCTTTTTCTTTCCTTTTTCTTTAATTTCATTATCATAAGCATGTAACCATTATATTAAGTTCCGACTCTACCTACTTGCATTTAAAAAAATTAATGGGTTAAAATTTGTTTAGAAACTTATGCATGATAATAATAATTAATAGATGTAAGCCGTTAAACTAAATTAACAGTATTATCATAAAGTTAAATATTTCAAATATTTTCTTGATTTAGCTATTCTTATTAAATAAATGGACGACACGTTTGGCTCAGTTTGTAGTGACCCTACTTTCTGTGCTGGCGGTCGCGGCTTCGAGCCCCGCTGGGGGCATTTGTTTGTGTGATGACGAAGGTTTATACTCCAGTCATGGGTGTTTATATTTATAATATGTATGTATTTAAAGTTATATATGTGTAGTGTGTCGACCATCTGGTATTCATAACACAAGCCACGTAGCTTACCATGGAACTAGATGGTGCTGTGTGTGTGTGTGTGTTACTGTCCCAACTGTCCCAACATAAATTAACACTTTAATTAAATAAATTAAAAGGACAAAGAATATAGTGAAACATTCTATGTCATGACTTTATATTTTATTTCACATTTAGTTTTCTAATCGTGAATAAACTGGAAATCGTATCTGTAAACTTCTCCGTGCCTTCGAATATAGGTCATATTATACCTACTTATTAAGTAGGTTTGATCGAAATTGCTTTAAGATTGAATAAAAAAGTATTAAGTGGGTAAATGAATACTTAACCACATAAAGCTATATAACTTTAAAGCTAACATAGTTAAATTTAGTGTAATAGTGAAACACACATGAAATCACAACGGACTGCCTGCAGTACGGCTAAGGAACCGTGTGTACACAAGTTATAGGTCATTTACATATTGCATCATAAGTAATATTTGAGACGCAATTATCGTTCGTTTCTGTAGTTATTTCATTTGTATATAAATGTAGAGATTGTAAATAGATGTAAGAGCTGTTTAATAGTAAAATCATATAATAATACCTTCATATGCAGGCTGATATGAACGTTAAACATATTTTTTAACACCTCCAAGTAAATTTCTAAGGAATTAATTAAATTTCTAAGAAATCTATTGTTAACTGACACGCCGGTGTGTCCGCGGTCGTAGAGGGATTAAATTTGACAAAAAAAAAACATCTAAATACATCAAGCTGTTGATTTGAGGAGCACTCAGCAGATACGTTAATTTTAAAGACTCATTATAATACGCACGAAAATAACTAAACAGTAAACGGTAATAAAATGTATATTATAAGATAATAGATTTATTAATAATAAGTTTTCTGGTACGTAGAAAGCTTTCGCTGTCGCTTTTTTGGACAATATCATATTAATCTCGGAAACATAAAATGCTATTTTAATGAAAATTTCTTAAGTGTACTTAACTAATAGAAAAATATTTTTTATGGTTTTCTGGAAACTTTTACACTTTATCTAGGAAAATTAAGGTTCAGTTGGCTATTTTTTTTTAATTCGGCACATAAAAAATTAAATTTTCTTTACAAACTCTTTTTCACTCCTAAAGGAGTTCGAGGCCTGGAATTAAAAAATGCTCTTTGATGATTTTTCATGTTACTATGTTATATATACCTACATAATACTTATACATATAAATTGTTCTTTATATCGCTTTATCTATAATTATTTCCTTAATATTTTTACAAGAAAGCAGCCACTTTAGTATGAATTTATCAATAAATAAGAGCGCACATAACAATAACATTTTTGTTACAACCCTGTTTTAAAAACCCCTTAGTTTTTGTATATTTCTATCGACAATAATGTCTATTTTTCGCAACTTACAAAAAAGTATCTGTCCTTTTCTCTCATTTGGTATTTTTAGTAAAAAGAATGAGAGGGAACTAAAATAAATAACGACAATTTCGGTACTTGCCATAAAGTACGCTGTACGATCTACACCTACATACAGACTACATCAGTCGAGATCAGTCGAGAATAGAGATTGGTTTCTCGTGGTTAGCCTTAAACTAAAGCTCTAAAAATTGATTTTGTTATACTATAGGTAAGTCTTTTGTTTTGATATAGGGGCTAAATGGAGGTAATTTTAAAATCGATTATATTGTTATTTTATATTTGATAATCTTTCCTTATACATACGCAATAATTTTGTATATTTACCTACAAAGCGTGTTAAAAGTGTTGAATTAACTATTTAATACAATATTATGTATCTAACTTATTGTCAGTAGATACGTCTTAAATCTTAATATTTACATGGCTCTGTTCACTGTTCGGTGTTACCGTGTTACGTCTTACAATTAGACGGACGAGTGCCGACGGACGACGGTGCGACTGTTTACTTATTTATTCACAAATTGAAACATTCTTTAACATTCACTATAACCTGCTTTATTAAAAATTAAAATGATTAAATAATTTATCATATACCTATGATATGATGAAATACAAAAACTGCTACTTTGGTTTATCCATGACCATGATGCACCGCAGACAATATAACATTTATATGTTTGTATGTACAAACACAAAGTACTTATGTAGATAATCTCTGGAAATATTAAAAATTGAAAATAAAATGCTTCGCTATCTCTGAACGACATCAGATAATTATAATCAACTCGCCTGGTGACGGGAGCAAAAACTTGTTTTATTCATCTCTAGAGAAGCACAAACAGATCTATCCCACGGGAACCGTTTATTTTTATAAAAAGTAACCTGTTATTTGACCGACAATATATTAGGTATCAAGCATGCCAAAAATAACTAAATTAGGTGCATAAGTTGTTGTGTACTAAGCTGTATAAGTTACTATAGTTTTTTTTTAACTATCCACTGAAGTCTAATTTTCCAGAATGAAAAGTATCTTAAACGTTGACCGGGAATATAAGGTGTGGTATCTTATATGGTATAAGGTATGGTAACATATAAGGTACCACCATGCAAAATTTCATTTAAATCGGTCCAACAGTTTCGGAGATTAGTCCGTACAAAAGACACAAAAAATTGAAAAAACATCTGGATTTGTTCTATTTCTCTTCTTACATCCCCTGACTCGGGTTTTAGCATTTTATTTTTGTTTTTTTTTTCTATGTACAGACATTCTATCTCTACAGTTTTATTATATGTATAGATTTACAAAATTGACTCAGAAAAGTTACGCTTATTTTCTTTATAATTAATTTGTTAATTATGACTTGTGTGTTGCGCGTGCGCATCTGATATCAGGTGCCAGATACGTTATCAGTAGAACTTCATTCAGTATTTGTTTGTGCGGGCGCGAGAAAGCGTTGTGGTTTGGGTATTCTCCATCGAACAGACGGGATAGATATACTCGTATATATATATTTTTAGAGGTACATTTTCTTACTTAAATATATTATTATTATTTAGAGTTTTATTTCCATCGTGTTATCAAATTTAAAGTTTTGGTACTCTATCATTATTATTGCTATTTAAGGAATTAGGGGTGATTATTTGCTGGGTACAAATGGCATGATATTTATGGCACTTCAGACACAGGTTAGATTAGCTACGTGTGATCGTAGAAAGTTTTTATAGATTAATAAATACTAGCGAGTTTTCTTCACTTCGCTCGTCTACATCACTAGGCGCCAATAAAGTAACCCGACGGTTACTATTTTCCGTCTTCGATTAAAGTTTACTTCGGTTCGGTACTCGGTTTCCCAAACGAGTGCGTTGTCCCTAGGCTGCCACTCCCTCCTAAAAAAATATATTTCATATAAATAATTTTTGCAAGCCCTATGCAGTTTGGTGTTCTATAGACGTGTTGACTGTAATACAATTCTTAAAAAATGCGCCTTTGATTTTTCTAATAGACATATCTATAGGTATGCCTGCTTGCACGTGCGGCCACTGCACCGTGTTTAATTAAATGAAATTGTGTAACATTAACGTCGAAAAGTACCTATTTGTTATTTAAACAATCTGATATGTCTTATGTATTGGTAGTATTTTTATCACGGTGACGTGAAAATAACGATAACACTTTTTGTAAAAGTACTTAGTAAAAGTTTTATCAAAGCAGACATACACTGTGTCAACAGATGTCCAAGTAAACTTTGATCAAAGCTTCTTTGTCAAAGCAGGCTTTAAGATAATTAAGACACGGTCCAAGTTAGTTCCACATCGAAGTGCGCTTTGATTGATCGTTTACATGATCAAGTTGCGTCAATAGTAGTCATCAAAACTACTTCGTCAAAGTAGACTTTGATTGTGTCAATGCGGCTTTAGTACCAACTTTAATCATCATCAATATCATTATTATCATCACCAACTTTTAATTTTAGTGAAATTTGTAGCGTTACACGTAGTCACCGGATAATAGCAGTACTATGTGCATATTTATAAAACCAATGTACTTAAATGTGTCTTTTCCTGCTCATGTTTGTAATCTTTCTATTTTTTTAATTCCTATGCCAATAATCCGATTACCACGTAACTTAGGATGCTTACATAGTTGCTACCGCTTAGATAGTATAGACCGCGATATCTCCCATATACCATTGTGGTGGCAGTTTTGACGCGCACGTTTTGGCTATTTAGCAATTGTATCGCGCCACGAACAGTTGTCCTGTAACCGCCCACCAATTAGTTTGTCACTTATATTATTTTATCCCCATTTTCACTCCCTTAAAGGATGATATCCTGGATAAAAACTATCCTATGTTCTTCCCAGGGGTTCAAACTATCTTCTTATAAAATTTCATCTAAATTGGCTCGGTAGATCCAGAAATTACCCTCTACAACGTCACAAACTCACAAGTAACATACTTGCAATAAAGTGTTTGATTTGATTTAATTTATAATATTAGTATAGATTAAAATATATATTGTTGCTAGGGATATTTGATATTTCTAAAGTGAATATAATAAATATAATATGTAACTTTGGACAATTGATTATCTCTCTGCATACTCACGAGAGAGAACACGCTTTATTTATCCACACACTAATGACTAACTAAACCATCAAAGTGATAGGTGAAGCGAGTCGTAGCTATTTATTTAAAGTACGTAGTAGTAAATAGTATGTAGTAAGTAATAGCCCAGTGGTAACGCGCTCGCTTGGGAAACCGAGTGAAGCGAGTTCAAATCCCGGGTATCACACCTCTGATATTTTCATGTGCGAATCATTTCAAACATGATTACCACTTGTCTTAACGGTGAAGGAAAACATCGTGAGGAAACCTGTATGCTGAGAAAACCTAGCAAGTTTTCAAAAGACATGTGAAGTCCGCCAACCCGCACTTGGCCAGCGCGGTGGACTATGGCTTGATCCCCCTCGTACTGAAGGGAGGCCCGTGCCCAGCAGTGGGACGTTAATAAAAAGGGCTGAATACAAGTAATATTTGTTGGTCTGAATGATAAATGGTTATTTACTAATCAAATTACTACTAGTAATTTAAATCAATGTATAAAATCGGGAAGTTATGTAAATTAAAAACCGCTCTTATTAATTGGCCAAAAAATGTTTTCTCTCTAACTGAATGAACTGAATATTATTATGATATTATTTTAACACAACAGAACACTGGCAATAGACGAATTAGATTATCGACCACAGGCGGCAAATCTCGGAAAGACTAGACAATAGCCATCTGCAGGGAATATAGAGGACCAGGATATAAACACCATGGATGAGAAATAAAATAGGTAGATGAATTATTCAGGTAAACACACCAGTGGTGCGACAATCTGACATTTGTGGACTTAATGCTTTCTTCAAAATAAGATTAAAGACGAATCTTTTGTCGTGTCCAACACTCCCTATTGCTGGGCACAGACCTTTAATGCGAGGCAATATGCCTAGTCCACTACGCTTCGAAACGATTTCATTTCTTTTTAAAACTGTTTAGGGTTCTCTTAGAAAAGTATTTTCAGTATCTTCACGATGGCTGTCGACTGTTATAAAAAGTGGTTGAAAATTATTCTCTTAATTCTGATTTTAACTCACGTGGTTCTCCAAGCAAAAACCAAGTTCTATCACGGCCGAAGCAACATATGCAAACTAAACAGCTAAAACTTGTTCTAGTTATATTTTCTCATTTTGGTCAGGAGTTATAATCGACGTTGCTAGTTACGGTATAATCACTGTTAACAAATCACTCGCCGTCGGTCATACCAATCGATCAATGTAATCTAAATACGAGTGATGTAATCATTAAGTATATTGTTAATGTAGATTTTTGATTATTTCTATTTATTTTAAATTTTCCTTCGATGTGTAGATACTTTGAACTGAGGAGGTAGGTAGGTTCTTCTTTTCCTAAACCTGTTAAATTTTAATAGAAATATTATATAGAATACTATGGAAAGAAGATACTACTGTTTCTTATTGTTTGACTAGCATTGTCCGCGGCTCCGCCCGCGTTCAGATGACCAAAAACCAAATAAAATAGCGGTATTATTATTTTCTTTCATTTTTATTGTTAGTTTTTGCCTTATTTAGTAAGTTACCTTGTTAAAATATATATAGTATCATCGTGGTTTTATTCTAACCAGTTTTTGTATTTTTTCTCAGAAACTAGATATTTTCCCGTGGTAAAAAGTATCCTATATGTTGACCCGGATAACCAGCTACATCATACCAAATTTAATCAAAATCTGTCCAGTGATTTTCTCGTGATGTGGTAACAGACAGACAGGAAGAAAGACGAATAAAAATTCTAAAAACTATAGATTCGGACTCTGTATCGATAATAATGTCTATTTCAATAAGATTTTCCAAAAAATATTTAATGTACAGATTCGACTTAGTTACAATTTTATTATATGTATAGATAAAAAGGCTATAAGGAAACTTTTAAAATATAGGTACTTACCAAATGAAAAATTTGACCATGTCATGGATTCCAAGACCATGGGAACTGTGGAGCAAGACAGGTCAGGACAAGTTGAATTCTATGGATTGTATGGACGTAACCAGTTGTATTTTTTGTGGAAAATCTTATCAAATCAACAGACTTACAGCAGATTTTCATAAAATGTTTTTTTTATTAGTGTCAAAATTGTTTAGTCCTTTCACGACCGCGGACTCGCCGGCGTTACAGTTAACAAAAGATTTCTTAGAAAACAGAAATTTAACTAATTTCTTAGAAATTTACCTGAAAAAAGTACTAGCCTCTAAAGGGTAATGGATTCAATCTATATAACATCATTAACGCGGTTTCCGGTTAAATTAGTACCGCGGGCTTCAACAAAACTTTTTCCTTAATTACGCTTCTCCTCGTGAGACTGAGAGTATTAAGTTCCTTGCTTTAAAAAAAACAGATAATAAATACAATATGAATGGCAAAATAAAAATAGGTTTAAACAGTCTAAAATATATAAAACTAATTAATCTGCGAAATCTTAACATTTATGTCCTATCTATCTACGTATGGGATCCCTAGCTTAAAAGTCCCCTAAAGTAGCCCCTAAGTTAAATTTCGTTTTACGATCGTCTTTAAGCCCATATTTCGAGCACCTAAATTTAGGGGGCCTTTTAATATTTAGGTGACCCCTAACTGTCGGTGAAACAGAAACTGTCCCCTAACAGCCCCCTAACCATGCTTAGGAGATCCCTTAAACTTAGGTGACGTTGGTGAAATCGGGCATTAATCTTTTTCAGAAATCCACAATGTCTCAACGCACGGTAGAAAACGAGGACTACAAGGGGCTGGTAGAGGCCTTCAGCATTCCCGCGGAGTTGCACGAGCGTGACGGCAAGAAGTATGCTAGCGTCGATGGCGTGTTGCCCATACACTGCGCCACGGAGGAACAGGTGGGCGTGGGACCTTTTGTGTAGATTCCAATTTGCAAACGATTCGTCAAAAACTAGCGTTTATCTGGAATTAGAGACAATTCATTGTGGCAAAGTAATTTACTGCACAATCCATTATTTAATTCTTGTTTCGCAATATGTCCACTATTTTGGGCGTATCACTTTCGATATTTTATAATACCTCTATGTTATATAGATAAGAATATCATATAATACACCTACATACATATGTATCTATTATCTATATCTTATCGTGTGGAAGAATTTCTAAACAAATTTTTGAAGGTTTCGAAGGAGGGCAGGATTGTGTGTACTTCAGGGGGAGTCGACAGCACGCATGTTCTACACGTCGTCTTTACACATGAGCTACATATATACCTATATGTAGTATTTAGCAAATAAACAATTTCACTCGTCATCAAAAAACTAATACATTTGTAAGTTTTTGGTACATTATAATTAATTCTTGACAAAGTTTGTAATATATAATTCACCTGTAAGTTGCGGGCAGAATATCTATATATCACTCGCTCATACTTTAAGCAGATCCTGCGTTTCTGGACAAGTGGTCCTTGGTGCAAATCCGGACTGAGTCTTAGGTTGGCATCCCGAGTCGGGAAAGTTTAATTACTGAGTGAGAAATTCTCAATAACGGCCTGGAGGTGGAAAGTTAAAATTGTTTTATCTCCGTACCTCAGAGAGCACGTAAAGCCGTCGTTTTTGCGTTTGATGTCACCACAGGTCGTGGTGAGTGCATAAAGTCCTAACGACTCACCCTCGCCTCACCTTGGGATAGATTTGTTTTTGTTTTTCAACAAAAACAAATTATCCCACGGGAACCGTACACTTTTACCAGATAAAAGTGACCTATGTGCTATTCCGGACTACAATCTATCTCTGTATCAAATTTTATCTAGATCCGTTCAACCATTCTGGCGTGATTAAGTAACAAAAATCCATATAAACTTTTACATTTATAGTATTAATGGGATGGGATGATATTTGTGTCCAGGTGGCAGAGCTGTCCCAGACCACGCACCACTATTGCGACGTGTTCACGACGAAGGTTCTGGCACCGCTCGAGGAACTCGTTTACGTGCGCCTCGATGAGAACACCGCTGAGAAGGTACAACTATCTTTACATTAGAGAGTGATGATGTTCTCCTGACTGATTCCAGCCACGGATAATCTCATTGAGACTAGCCAGCTGCGCAGGAGATATTATAGTGCACAAGTGTACGCGCAGACACAACGTGCACTCTCTGTTCCTGTCACTCTCATACTCCGGCACGACCAGTGAGAGTTAAGGCGCAGGACCGACGGCTTTACGTGCTCTCCGAGGCACGGGGATGAAACACCGCCAACTTCCCAACTCCGGGCTGTTACTGAGACTTACTATACAGAAAGACTCAATAACTAAACTTTGACCCGACCCGGGACTCGAACCCAGGACCTCCGGGTGTGCAGCCGTACATGCTAGCCACTACACCATCGAGCCAGTACATTAGAGAGTACCTACTATATAAAAACGATTCACTATATCATGTAGGTCTATTTATTCTTCATATGTCTTTGAGATTTTTAGTAATATAAACAATTGTTTACTTTAATAGTTTCATCACCAAAGCTAGATTTAATCGTAAATACGTATCTACGTATAGTTTAAAAAAATGGGTTGCGTTTACTTCTGTACGCACGTAACAAGTTATACTTCTTTGTATTTTTAAAGCATTTGAATAAAAGCTTGTTTTTTTTTTATGTTTGAAATTTATTTAATATTTTTTCCGTATTCTTCTCAGCAAACCCTTTCATATAATATCCATATCGTGGGTGTGCATAAAAATACAGTCCGCCATATTAGATTCACAATGACGTCACTTTGCTTGTTGTGTTTTGCTCATCAAGTTGTGTGTATAGAAATACTGGAAATAAATACCTTGAATATAGAAATCACATACATCACATTGAAGGGAGATTTAAATAGTAACTTCACGTTTTAGTCTTAACGACTCTGCTCACTAGTCACTACACTGTCTCATACCACGACCGCGCTAGGACCGTGTCAGGCAAAAAAAAAAATCTTTGTATGAAAAAGTATTACACTCTGCCCACTAGACTGTTCTGTCACCGACCGGCACCGTCGCGTGCCGAGCACGGAATGTTATCAATTGTCGGCAAAAAATCTCTGAAACTGCTGAGCTGATTCTGGAAATTCTTTCACTAATAGGAAACTACATTACTGAGTGCCTACTATAAGCTATTTTATATTTCGATTAAAATGTCTTTACTGATGGGTATGCCGAATGCTAATACCTTTAATTGAAATCGGAAAGAAAATGCAATAGAATAGTATTGTCGGAGTGCGCTACCAACGCTTTGAAATAAAGCAATCAAGTGTATTTCAAGAAGACACCTACTGCGAGGGTAAGTCGCTAGTCGAATATAAAGGTGACTACCTCGGTGGTGTAGTGGCTAGCATGTACGGCTGCACACTCGGAGGTCCTGGGTTCGAGTCCCGGGTCGGGCCAAGTTTATTTATTGAGTCTTTCTGTATTGTAAGTCTCAATAACAGCCCGGAGTTGGGAAGTTGGCGGTGTTTCACCCCCGTGCCTCGGAGAGCACGTAAAGCCGTCGGTCCTGCGCCTTAACTCTCACTGGTCGTGTCGAGCAGTCGTCCCACCGGAGTAATGAGAGTGACAGGAATAGAGAGTGCGCGTTGTGTCTGCGCGTACACTTGTGCACTATAATATCTCCTGCGCAGTTGGCTAGTCTCAATGAGATTGGCCGCCGTGGCCGGAATCGGCTAGGAGAACATCATTATCATCATAAAGGTGAAAAGTAAGGCCTAACATGTAGCATAATTATATCCTTCCCTCGCGGGCATAGGTGTTGTAGTATGCGCAAGCAACTATGTAACGCACCGCTGCACTGCACCTATTGTAGACTCACAGCCCGCTAACAACCAGCAGGGTTCAATTATGAATGGTTTCCAGAGTGGAAAAGAAATGTCATGTTCCGCAGGTGTTCATCAACCGCAGCCGCCGGCTGCTGCTGACGTCGAGCGACGGGCGTCTGGCGCAGTGGCGGTGCGCGCCCACCTTCGAGTCCGCCAACCGCTACGTGGCGGGCGCGCCGCTGTCCTCGCGCGCCGGCGACCTGCTGTCCGTGCTCACCGCGCGCCGCGGCAACCACTACGCCGTCTCCTGCTTCGAGGTACTATTGCTGCAATCACAACAGACCAGGAATGGTCGCAGTGACATCATATAGACGCAAAAATGAAATAAAAAAACAATAGGTTGTCTTTTAAGAGACTTGGGAGTTGAGACTAGAGACATGACTGTTGGTTTCCCATGTTATATAGCATTTAAGGAATCGGGACGAAGATCGTTTTATAAGTTGCTTGTGCTTAGTAGAAATAAATGCAAGGCGCGTACATCTTTGGGATACCAATCACATAAGATGTGTGGATGATAATAATTGATATCTAAGGTGAGGGTGTGATCATAACAACCCGACAATGGCACTTGTACAAAAAGTTTTTCAGAGTAATTCATACAACAGACATTATATATATTATACACAAACACATTTAATCATAACTTCCGCCGCAAAATTGCAGGGCGAAGGCGGCTACTTCGAGACGTCCGAGCCCTGGACGGTGGTGGACATGGAGGAGGGCAAGTCCTACTACGGGGACAAGGGCTTCTCCTCGCGCTCGGAGCTAGCGGAGTACGTGCGGGGGCTCCCGGCGGCGGAGACGGGCCCGCGCGCGCCGCCGCGCCCCGTGCTGCTGCGCGGGGGCGCGCCGCGCGTCGCGCTGCTGGCGCGCGGCGGCCGCCAGCTCGCGCACCACTACCTGTGCGGCGGCACCGCCAGCGACGTCGAGTACTTGTAGGGCGGTGAAGGTTATTTATATGTTACATATGATATGAATATTACCCGGGCAGATAGAGAATGGGATTAGAAATGGTACATCGTTAGAACTGCAACTACTTTCTGCATTATGCTATTTTAAGCGACAAAATGACAGTTTTTACTAATCAAAATTATGATAGCGAACTACGTTTGTTATTATATGGAGACATGAGAGATTATTTAAAGATTTATTATTGAAAGTTATGGCAAATGCAGTTCGGCAGATTATTGAAAGTCTTAAAATCATATTACGGTTTTAATAAAATAATATTGAAATATAATTGATTTTTTAATAAAGATGAAAGAGAATACAGGGAGTAGACAACACTATTTAAAATCCCATTTTTTTATCTGCAAGTTATACAGATTGACAGTCGATAGTATGAACTCTTTTGACCAATAGCCAAGTGCTATACCGTTAGTGTGAGTGCATTCAAAACAATACACTTAATTGTTTTTTGTTTGTTATTATGTATATTTCAGTATTTATCTTTAGTTATTCTTTAATAATTCCAGTTATTAATTTAAGTTTCGTTATATCTTTTAAGTTTTACATATTGTATTCAATACATCACAATATTTAATATCAATGTAACATGCTAATTATAGTTCAGAAGCATAATATTTTTTATATTTTTAATAAAACACAATATTATAAAAATAATTTTTATTTACACAACCATACAAGAGAATATATCCACAGCCCAATTTTCTTAAATAAAAATCATCATATTCATATAACATATTATAAGTTAAACATTGATTATTTATATTTTGTATATTATAACAATTCAATCCTCTCCTGCATATCATTAGACATTCATTATTATTATGTATTTTTATTGTTTTAACAACAAAAACTATGCAGTAAAGAGAATAGAATATATTCTATAAACCAATATATACAGATAACAAGTTAAGGTACATCTACCGCTATAATAATATTTCTTTGGTATAATTTTTTTTATTCATAAAATTTATTATCGTTAAATTAAATTAATTATTTTTCTAAGCAAAATTGCATTAGGAAACAATTAGACAAAAAAACAAAAAAAATAATATGTAACATACTTGACTAAGGCAGTATAGGTTACAACCAGTGTCATCACAATAATTTGAAAAAAAAAACATACATACATTTAAAAAAAGATATTTTGTAGTATATATATATTTTTCCTATTCATATATATACATATGTTATCTGTATTTCTAAAGTTTCTTTGCACTTTGTCTTTGTGTCTTGCTGTCACTAACATTCTCCCACAACCACGGTTTGACTGAAGAGATCTCTCGAAGATATAAGTCTACCTACGTCACGTCATGTGTATTTTTTAAGTATGAATTGTTTTAAGTGCAATAAAGAATGTATATAAAAACACACACCTTGTTTGTGTGTATTGTGTGCTTGTGTTTGGAAGTGTGTGTGTGTGTCCGCGTGTCACACGTCCAGGTAGAGCCGCACGAGGTCGCGGTCGGCGGCGGGCAGCCCCGTGACGGGGCAGCGCGCGGCGCCGCGCAGTGCGCGCGAGATGCACGTGTAGCAGAACACGTAGCTGGAATTGTATCATTGCATTATTTTGATTAATGCATTTTAAAGCTATATTTTGAGTACAGAACTTATTTTTTGCTTTCTTTTGCTTAGAAGATTTTGTTAAAATTAGACTAAATATTTTTAGGAAACAATGTGTACAACTTTAAAAGCATATGACGGCCACTAATGTTTAAAAAAAAATATCAATTTCATTTTTTTTTGTCTATTCAGAGATAGACACCTCACAGTAGGCTGAAATATTTTTTTCACCCCTCAATTCTCGGAATAGAGAGCCAGACGGACATAGTAAAATTATAAGGGTTTCGTTTTTGTATTTAAACCGCGCAACCTTAACAATTGATATAAATATAGACATGTACAAGTACAGGTAAAATGTTCTTTGATATTATGCATCCATAAATGACGTGGGTAGCTTTTATTTCAATTTAAGTTCATCCCCCCTTTTGTTGAGATTAATCTCAACAAATCTCAATTGAGATTTGGTGCCTGCGTCGTGAGATGTATGCTACAGTCGTTAATAGACTACATTTATTTTCATAAAGTATAAAAACAATACAACATTCAGGCATTTTTAGCGGGCAAAATAGGTCACTTCAAAAGAAATTAAAGAAAAATTCTACATTTTTTTATTATCTGTGCAATATATATTTTTTTTAAGTTGATGTCAGATTTTTAATTATACTCTCCTGAGTTTAAATGAGATTTGATGAGATTTTACTAGACCTCCCTCCATAATTTTGAGTTAAAACTTAAAGCGAATATATAAAGAATAAATGAAAGCGAGTTACCCGGACACGGGCAGCGCGGCGGGCGCGCGCCACGGCTGCCGGCACAGCGGGCACGCGTTCACGGGCGCGCTCGCCTGCGCCTGCTGCACATACACACGTACATACTTAAGTTCAATATTGTCAATTAAGTATCTTGTCAATGGCTTCAAAGCGTGCCGGTTGAGCACAGATTATACATAAGTTATTTTATTACTTATTATTTACTTTTTTATTCACTTTTGATACGATTTCAGGTATATGTAGATATTTTCGCTACTAGTGAATCGATTTTCATAATCGTTGTTACCTATATTAATTGAAAAAAAATAAAGAAAATCAATCAACAATGGGACATCCCCTACAATTTTTCAAACAGTCAACCCCAAGCATGGGGTATGAGTTAATTACTTTAAAATGTAGAGATATTTTTTATTGATTCTCTTAAAAGATATTTAATAAAAAAAAAAAATTCCTACACAATTTAAATAATTACCTATAGATTTTAAAATTAAAAAAAAATTGACTATTTGTAACGTATACAACCCATCAAAAGAACCAAAGGAGCCCAAACTCGAAGGTACTACTAGTGGTTGTTGAAGAGTTAGTTCTCTATCCGGCTGCGGGCCGCGGCTGTACCTGCGGCGGCGGCGGCGGCGGCGCGGGCAGCGCGCGCAGGGCGAGCGGCGCGCGCGCCCCCCACCAGCGCAGCATCTGCACCGCGAAGGCGCCGTGCTGCGCCGCGCCGCTCAGCGCGCGGTACACCATGGGGAACGTCACCACTGCACTCCTACACAAACACACACATCATATAACTGTAGGTATAGGCTACTAAACTAAATCACCTATGTACATGCTCAGAACAATACATGTCCATTTTTTTTGACTAATATTACTATTTTATCTTTTTTGTAAGTTAAATTATATTACAATTTACAATATTCCTATAAACTTGAAGTAGCTTGGAGGTGATCACTTCACTCCAAGGCGTGTTATTTTCTATAATAATTTATTATATACTCTTACCCAAACTGTCCAGCCAGTATACTTCTATAGAAGTCGGTCCAAGTGTTCTCGTCAGGCTCTTCTGGAGGTGCATTACTTAATGTCAAGCCAAGCATATACAAGGGTAGCGTCGGAGCTTGGTGTTTGCCTGTCAGGTACCTGGCTAGAACTATGAGCCTGGAGGCCTCAGTTACGAAGTGGATTATTGTATAAAGCTTAACTGCTGCTTTCTTGGCTTCATCCTTTTTGTTCTGGAAGAGGATACTATTGTTTTAATTTTAGCCTATTTTATAATTTGTTTTTGCACTGAAGAACTTTAAAAATAATACATTTTGTGAGAACATATTTTTTGTTTAATATAAAATGTAAAAACCACCTTTATTATAAAAATGCCAAAGTAAATAAAAACATTAGAAATAATATATAGAAAAAAAGTATAAATAAGTATTTACAATTATAATTGAAAAATATACATTATACCACACCTTACCCAATCTCCCGTCCTCCGAGTCCTCCCTCCATATCTCCACAAATTTCTCAACTTTATCTCTTATATACGGCACTAACACTAACAATGCTAAGGACCCTCGTTCTAAGGTTTCTGGTAGTCTTGAACCAGAATCGAACTCTGTATTTGGTGAAATTGCGACTCGATGAAGCCCATAGAAACATTCCGAGAATGATGCAGCTGTATGTAAATAAAAAATAGTTTTGTATTAATATTTATATTATATTTACTTAAATTAATTTCAATATAAAATCTACTTACCATAATGTTTGAGATAATGGTATTGTAGAGTATAATCTAGTAATAAGTACAGTTCATCGTACCATCTCTCACACCATCCACATTTATTTGGGTAAACTGATGCTAAATACTGTGAATATAATATATTATATTATAAAAATAATTTAGTCTAAATGAGTTGTAATTAATTCTTAAATGATTTTAAAAAACATTATTAATAGGAATTTGTTTGTTGTATAGGGAAAAGGTCTAAGCATGTAGTCTTTAAGATCATAAGCATGTTACAAAATATTATCAATTTATAAGAAAATAAAATGTTGATTAACAATTTGTGTAGCTACAGCCAAAAGATGGTAGTTCGTCATTGTTTAAAAATGCATTACTTGTAGGTCCTATTAAATGTCTAAAATACCTGAACTAGTCTTCGTAAGGCTGGTTTAACAGTATTTCCCAGAGCCTCTTGAGCGGTAACTTGGAACACAGAGGGAGTTCCTTGTAAAGTACGAGTTAAGTGAGCTGCATACACAGCCATACTTGCTTATTTGTTAGTTGTTACTATACTTTAACGTTATCTGTTCAAATGGTAGATTATAAACAATGTTTTTTATGTGTGGTTCATTTCGTTTCCATTCAAATCAAATATTCTTTTATGATTTATCACCTGTTTATCACAGACCAAGAGGCAAGAACTGCTGTTTATGACAATTGTCATTTGTCAATTGATAATATTTGACAATTGACAGACGACAGGTTGTTGTTGTCTATCCAATATCCATGGTTGTTGTCAACAAGTTGCACAGACTGTACGTGTTTTTTTTACTGCTTCGCAACTCCAGGTTTTATATAAAGATATAATGATAATAAAGTAGCCATAATATAAGCACATAATATATGGTTAATAGTCAGTATGTATTGAAAATGAAAAGCTTATGGTAAAATTTAAGCCTTTTAATATATTATCGAAGCTGTAAACATCTGTCCAAAAAGGTATTTTCTATAATATTATTACCTAAATCTTAAAAAAGCATGTTAGTTTATCCTTCAATTCTCAGTCAAAGGACACTATTTTGCTATAAGGCCTCCTGTATTTAATGACATGAGATAGTTTTTAAATCTGATCATCAAACGGATTTCCATGGGGTGCCTTTAGCAAAAAATACTTTAAAACGCTATCGTTCATTACAATAAGACGTAATGTGTAAGCACTATATATTTTAAAATAAAGCCCCTCGCCCCATCTGTCTGTCTGAACGCGATAAACTTAAAAACTACCGAACGGATTTTTATAAGGTTTTCACCAATGGACAGAGTTATTCATGAGGAAGCTTTAAGTCTATAATTCTTTACGGCTTGTGTAAATTGGTTGAAATGACAGGACTGCTGAACATGTCGGCAAAAAGTTTAATGAAAACAATGTATGTGTTACGGAATTCCTCTTAAAAAGATCTTTTAAACTGTGGCAACGCTATAATGTCTCTAGGGCCACAACCGAGCAAAGCGACTGAAAATCCCTCGTATAATCATTAAATCCTTTGACAAACTGGGACTTGACAACTTGGGAGCACAGTATATTTCTATTACAGAGTAAAATGTGAAACCATCAAGATGGGAAATAAGTAAAAATCTAGAAATTATTTAAAATACTTTATTCTTCCTTACTACCTATTTTTACACAATAGTAAATGTATAAAGCAGTTCGCGTGTTTCCGTAAGGCAAAATATCACTATTATTTGGGCAAAATATCTTAAAAGTAAAATGCACTCGGCAACCTCCATAAGCGACAGGTGACCGTCATCATATTAAGATACATAAGTATTTAACTCAATTCATATTAAATTTTAGTTATTTATAATGACTATACTATAATGACACAGTTTTATTTTACTAAGTTTACAAAATAATCTTGAAGTTTATTTTTCCAATAAATATCAAAATTAGTGCCGGTTTGCAAGCAAATTAAATGTTATCAATATAATATTCTATCTTAAGGTGCCTCCATACAGGAGTTAAAAATGTCAGTAAACATTCTTTATCGAACATTTTATCGCAAAAAATATATTTAAAAGTCATTAAATATTTTCTTTTTATTAAATGCAACATTTGCTATGGAAACAATTTGAAGCAAAATTATAACAATTTGTAACTTTTCTTAGAAAACATTAAACCCGGGCGACAACAGGTGGTTATAAAATGTTAGGAAATGTTCTACAACATGTTTTATTAATGTGGAAGCTTTGAAAACATCTAACAATAGCCAACATGCTGCTGAATGTTAAAAAAAGTATTTGTATTGAAAAATGTTATCTAACACTTTTTTACTGCTGTGTGGCAACACCATTAGCAAAGAAATAAATAAAATAAAAATAATATTTTATCTATGCATCATTTGTTTAAATCGAAAACATAATAAGCCAAAATAAAATATCCACTCCATCCAAGTGATGTAAATAACGAGGCAACATGTCTTTTAATGTTAAACTAAAACTACAATAATTACAATTTTTACACATTTACAATGATTATTTATTGTATTTTTGACCAATACTTTATATAATTTATTTAAAAAATAAAAAAGATTTTTACATATCTTTAATTATAAAGTATCTGCGATGTTATTTCTCGCAAACTCGCTTATTGATCAGTCATTTGTTATAACTCTTAATTATAATATAATGACTCTTCAATATGGCGCACAAATTCAATATGGGAACACTGTTAATTTCCTATTAATAAAATTAAATTGAAAAATTACGTTTTAATTGATTTTTGAGCAACGTTCATGATTTTTTGGATTTATGCTAGAGATGGTAAAATATAAAAACCTATAAAACGTATTAATTTTTTTTGTATGAATGTATTCGTTTTGTGCCACCATAAAAGATTATAGAAATAAAATTATACAAATTTTGTATTGTTTTAATCTATATATTACTAATTTTTTCATTGCCAAACAACCTCAGATCTTTATTTTGTGATTAAAGCCACTGTCAATATTTTTTGTTTTTTAAAATATTTAATTTTTAAGTCAAAAATGATAAAAAGCTTTAGAATTGTATACAGAAAAGCATTAGTTCAAATATATAAGTGAGATGACGTCACTTTTTGTGTTTAGTAAAGATATAAATATAATTTTAGTAAATAGTTTTAATGACATACTAGCAATACGATAATAAATATAAAATATTAAAGAGAAATGATATTTTTTATATTATAATTACTCCACATTTGTGCTAATAAGAATATCAAACTCAATTCAAAGACAAAAAGCAAAAAAAAATAAAAATTAAAACACTATATTTTCTAGTGACACAGATAAATAATATCATACTTAATTTACTAATAAATTGTAAATTAATAAGTGCCTATTATTTTTTATAGTCAATCGATTTTTTTAAACTTACATTAATAATAAGGAGCCATTTATTAAATACTTAAGGGTCCTGGGGGTGGGTGGGGAGGTGGTGGGGGGCTAAAAGCCATTCTTACGTTATACTTTATAGGTAGAAATATGCGATTTCTAACATAGAGTGACGGATATTTGAGAGATATGCGTTGGGGAAAACTAGTTGAGATCTATTTTTTTATGGAGGTGAGAGAGGGGGGAAGGGGAGGGGGTTTATCAAATATAGCCAAAATTATCCTTACGTGATTAATGAATGGTCCCTAATAGCTCAATATTAAGATATAATTTTATCTATTAACATAATATTATTGTGATTTAAAACAGTATCCTATTATATGTAGACTATTTGATACAACAAAGTACAATGTATTGTCTTTCTAACCGACTGTTTTTATAAGGAATATTTAAAATACAACACTGAATACTTTCTTAGATTTACGCGAATATTTGACATTTTAAATAAAAATCTTTTCGGATTATTTCGCGGATTTATTTTGATTGTTGGTTCCCGACGTTTCGAATGCTTTACAGCAATCATGGTCACGGGAGAGACTGAGGTGTTAGATGTTTCAAAGGCGTTACATACTTGTTACGTCGGGAACCAAAAAAATAAATAAATCCGCGAAATAATCCGAAAAGAAAGTTTTATTTAAAGTACCACACTGAGTCAATACTAGCAAACTTAAAAATATAGCTATACTAATCTATGTATGCCTCAGATCTAATTGATCTGACGTTCACATCAACTGAAAACCGTATTATATAATTTTTTTTCACCAATCAAAATGTTTCGTCAATTTTTTTTAAAAAAATATAAATTTACATCCAAACCAAATGTCCATTAGCTATAAAACCTTCCTAATAATAATATTAATAAGGACCTGTGCACACTATGTTATATACACGCACGTTGCGTGTCACTAACGTATATGGTTTGGTTATTCTGCGTTAATAAATTTAAAAATGCAGATTACAAACACGAGTCGAAGTCGCGTTAAAAAGCTATAGTGTGAAAGGGCCCTAAGGTCATATCAACTTTTTTAACGCACTGTCGACGAACACTTGTCGGTATCGATACATACCTAAGGAATATGCATTTTTAAATTATATCAGTTATACGCATCGACCAAAAAAGTACTAGACGTAGATACACAATCAGCGACAAAAATGTCCTCACCGAATGAGCGCTCATTTAAACATATGAGTGCGCTTTTAAATTTTTTTTTGTGTAAACAACTTTAATCATTGCATTTAAGGTTCAATTTACATTGTTATAACAATATATATAAATATTTATTTTTACTGGAATAATTACCTAAGCACAATTTGGTGACAGTTTCAAGAGAACTTTTGCATGGGATTGTGTATCTAATTTAGTAATTTTTTGATCGATGGTTAAACGTAATAAATGGTGATGATATGCAAAGGCCCTCTAACGAAGTCTGCGCACTACACCGTCCCATACCATGACCGTGCTAGGACCGTGACAGGCAAAAAAATATTGTTTGTATTGAAAAGTATGAGACTCTGCCCACTAGACCGTTCCGTCACCGACCGGACCCGGCGCACGGGCGGCGCTGTGGTGAGCATACGCAGCATTGAAACCGTTATGTACGGGTACGATACACTGTTGATACGGTCTAGTGGGCGTAGTCCGCGCCATGCTCGTTTCCGTGCCGGATACGTTCATAGCACGGTCATGGTATGAGACGGTGTAGTGGGCAGACCTTAACAGTGAACATAAACGGCTTGCTCGATGAGGTGTGTCGCTAGCTGGAGGAGTTGTTGTACTGCGGGCGCCCTGCCAGCTCCAGCAGGTAGCGGTCGGGGTGCTCCATCCAGTCCGCTGCCGACACCTTCACCTGGGAGAGGGACACGATATCACTTTTTAACTTTCACGCTAAAAAATACTTTAATTCCATCAAGACTGAAGATATCTATACTAGTATTATGAAAAGGAAAGATTTTTTTGTTTCTTTGTTTGTACCGAATAAATCCGAAACTACTGAACCAATTTAGATGAAATTTAGTAAGAAGATAATTTGAGGCCCTGGGAAGGTCATGGAAGTTTTTATCCTGGAAATCATACCTTAAGGGGGTGAAAATGAGGATAAAGGTTTGTATGACGAAGCAACTTAAGGACAAACCCGAGCGAAGCGAGGGTGAGACGCTAATTGCATATAATATCATACACCTACAAAATACATAGATATTTTTGTGGTCCTCTGTTATAAACACTCTCTTTGATATAGTTTGGAAGAAATATTTTTTCCTAGCAAACAATCTGACAGCTAATATCAACCATTTATTTTTTTAAATTTTAGTATACCCTATAACACTTGCGTCATCAAGGCAAATTTAAAGAGTTATAATTAATCAAAATCAATTTAGCCATTTAGTAGCATATATACGAGTCAAACATAGATTGCTTGACTTGCACTATCGTGCCCCCCGAACCCTCGTTTTCGACTTTGTCACGGTAGAGTAAAAAGTCTTTGGATTAAAGAAAATAGATTTTAACAGACAGATGGATAGACTAATCCTATAAGGGCTCCAGTTTTCCTTTCAGAACCATTATAATAATAATAATAGCCTCTATTAACAATCTTATAAGGTACATTTCATCTTATTACTCAGAACCATTATAAAATGTGCAGAATCCTTCCGAAATTCTGCGGAGAATCCTGAATGTAACAAGTGATGTAGCGAGAAGGCCTACCTGCCGCTGGCGCTCCGCCTCGCGCACCTGCCACTTCTTGACCTCGGTCTGTGCATCCTTCAACGCCTGCTCGCCGCAGCCCCACACCTGCGCGACCACCAACAAATACAACAATTATTTTTCTACAACCAACAACAATTCGTTACCCCAGAAACATTAATGTTGACACCTTAAACGAATCCCGGGGCTCGGAAAATCGGGTTCGCTAATGTTTGTAAGTTCAAGAGCATAGTCTGCTCCGCCAATTTAATGAAATAAGATTTCACAAAATGTCCTAGATTTATCTGTTTAAAAATTTAAAGATAAAAATATTTTATTAAACAAAGCGTATTACACTGTTCAAGAGTTTCTTGTTGATGGAAATGTGTGGAATTGAGAAATACTGACTCATATGCGGGCTATCTATATTATTATGTTAATAAAATCAAACTTCGATATTTAAAAGAACAACTGTTGAGTTTCTTGCCAGTTCTTCTCAGTAGAACTGCTTCCCGAGCCGGTGGTAGCTTCCTCACGGACTGACTATACTGACGCTTACACTAAATTGACGATTCAAAAGCACGTGCAATAAGTCTAATTGAATAAAGTTTATTTCATACAACCAACAAAACAACTCGTTAATCCAAAAATTATAATATTGACGCCTCAACTGAATCTTGGGGCTCGGAAACTCGTTTTGCTAATGTTTTTATGTGAGCCCGTCGAACAAAGTCTGTTTCACCAGTGTGTAGTGGCAACTGACCTTGTAGTGGGTATACCTATATTATATTAAATAAAAACATTGTCATGTCGGCAGTCTTAATGTTCAGATGAGAGAATTATAATGAACCAGTCGTCATCCAGATGTCGTTTCATTTAGACCTCATTATCCACTACCGTGGAACGGAGTATACTGGGAATTAATATAACTGATTGTATCAAGGATACCATAATCCGTTCCAGAATGCAAATTACGGATGTCACTCGGAAATTTGCCATGCTGAAGTGGGACCGGGCCGGTCACGTCATCCGGATGTCAGATGACCTTTGGGCCAAACAAATAACTTTTTGGATCCCCCTACACAGCCAACTACAGCGCAGTACCCCTGCAGTGGGACACTACAGACTTATAATAATAATAATACGACAGACCTCGATGGCGGCGAGCGGGTAGGGCACGCCCTTGTACTCGAAGGAGTCGAAGCCCTCGCCGACCGCCAGCAGCGGCCGGCGCGGGTCGGCGCCCGCGCGCAGCCCCTTCGGGTAGCCGCGGATGCACGAGTTCAGGTACAGCATCTTGGGCCCGCGCTCCACCACCGCGAACCTGCGCGCCGTCCCACACACATATTACATCTCTATATATAAACAACTAGCGACTCGTTCGTCCCTACTTACGTTTTAACGTCAAGTATAGATTTCTCAGAAATGAGATATTTTCCTGCAGTAAAATGCATCCTATGCAATGTTGACCCGGATAACCATCTATCATCATACCAAATTTCATCGAAATCTATCCAGTGGTTTTCCCGTGATGTAGTAACAGACAGACAAATATACTAAAAACTATAGATTCGGCCTCTGGTATCGATAATAAAGTCTATTTCAATAAAATTTTCCAAAAAAAATATTACATGTACTAATCCGGCTTAATTACAATTTTATTATATGTATAGACTAGAAGAACATGCGACTTCGCTAGCGCTAAAACTACAAAAAATCTGTGAAAAAAGTAAGTTTCATACAAACTTTCATCCCCTATTTTACCCCTTTATGGGATGATTTTCGAAAAATGCTACACATTTATTTAATTGTATTGAAGAGCATTAATACCAAGTTTCAACTAATTCTAACCATAAATATTTTTTTGGGTTGAATTATAACGTTTTTTTCTCGAGGGAATGAGATGATTTTTTGCAAAAAAAAAGTAGCCTATGTCACTCTCCAGCTCTCCAACTATCTTCATACCAAAAATCACGCCAATCGTCACTCCCTTTCGACGTAAAAGAAAGACAAACAAACCAACACACTTTTACATTTATAATAATAAAGTATGGATTATGTATTTAAGCAATTTAAAATATTAAAGCTTCGCGGGACGCCTGAAACTTGGCAGATGTGACACATCGAAACTATTTTGTAGTGAAAATGTATATACATGCAATGTATGACAGGATAGTTTATTAAAGGAAATAAATATGGCATCACCAAAAACGAAATATTGAGGTATTTAAAAATATGTATATTCTTTATTAAAAAATAATAATAATTTAATATCATAAATAAAAATTAAAACATGGACTCAGCGAAGTGAAAGAGTGGAGGGATCGCCGAGCTTTGTGGAAAGAGAGTTTGAGAGTTCGAACACGTGACGCCAATAACCCGTCCGACTTCATATCAAAAATATATAGATAATGTAGAAAAATATCAGGTCTATTAAAATATTGGAAACCAATATTGTAAATCGTAAGGATGTTTCTTTTTTTTGTCTCTCCAGGCATTTTTTGCCATTTCCTTGATGGAGACGCGGTACAGCGTTCGCAGTTAGATTATAACTAACAATTATTAACATACTTGTTTAAAGCAAAATGTTTTTTTGCACATGTATACGAGGGATTCGGTCATAGTCCACAAATGCTAGCCAAGTACGGTATCAGACATGCAGGTTTCTTCACCGTAAGACAAGTAAAATCATGTTGGGAAAATGATTTGCTGGTTTGAGGCCGCTTCACTTGGTTTCTCAAGCGCATTACCACTGAGTTATCACTGCCTACAAAGTGTGCAGAGATGGCTAACGTCCTTGTGTGTTGTCTTTCGCGAATGAAAATACTCAAAGTGCGAAAATTGGAACTTCAACCGGATTCATCGGGTTTCCCTTGCGTGTGTGTGTGTGTGTGTGTGCTCACGTGGGGTAGAGCTGCACGAGCGCGCAGTCGGGCCCGCCCCAGTACTGGTGCGTGTCGCGCCACTCCTGCGGCGCGCACGCCACCAGCGTCACGCCCGCCGCGCCCGCGCCCGCGCCCGCCGCGCCCTCCACCACCACCAGCGTCGGGCCCCTGCAGATCGAATCAAAATATACTTTGTTTAAATTATATGTCAGTATAGTCAGTCCGTTAGGAATCTACCGCCGGCTCGGAAAGACGGTACTGCTCAGAAGAACCGGTGAGAAACTCAACAAAGCTCTAGCTCTTTTAAAATAATAATTGTGTACAATATTGTAATACAATAATTATCTATTTATCCTACGTGAGACCCGACCGGACATTAGTTCCACACATTGATATCTACGAAGTATTCCGTGACAGTATAATAGGCCTTATCCACTGATACATTTTTAATTTTAGACTTAAATTGTTTAAACGGCAAGCCCAAAATCGCATATAAAGCCGGCACTGTTTGCTATAATTCATTTATTATTTTACCCCCTTAAGGATGTTTTCCGGCATAAAAGCTATCCTATGTCTTTCTCAGGGTCTTAAACTATTTTCTTACTAAATTTCATCTAAATCGGTTCAATAGTTTTAGAGCCTATCCGATACAAACAAACATTTTTTTTTCTTTTTATAATATTAGAACAAAAAACCTATTTAAATAAAATTAGTTTTAAGGATTTTTTCACAGACTTATTTTGATTTTTGCTTCCCGACGTTTCGATTGCTTTATATCAATCATGATCACGGCAGAGACTAAGGTTTTGGACGTCTCAAAGGTTATATACTTGTTATAGACAATGCCTACCCGCAAAATTACATAATGATTTCAAAATTATATTTTTTATAAACATTCGAAACATCGAAAACCAAAAATCAAAATAAATCCGTAAAAAATACTAAAAAGGTAGTTTATTCAAAATGCCAAGTATTCGCGTAAATCTAAAAAAAAGTATTATGATAACCTATTTATTTGGAATTTTTCGGATTATTGATAAACACTAGATAATCTTTATAACCTTGCTTTTTAGTTAGTTCTTAGAAGACCTTATCTAATTGTCGCGGAAATTTGGGTCCACATAAAACACCTATATTATTACCCCGGACAGAAGTCACTAGGCGAGTAATTTTCTGTGAACATTTATTTCTCATCACTAAACCGTTGTGAAGGTTACATAAAGTCTTATTCGTAATTCAAATATCTTAAATAAATAATACATTAATATTAGATGAACCCTTCCTAGATTTATTTCTCATACGAAATTTTATTCCCATTTTTATCCCCTTGAAGGATGATTTTCGGGTAAAAAGTATTCTATGTCTTTCCAGGGTTTCAAACTATCTTCTTACTAAATTTCGCCTAAATCAGTTCAGTAAATTCAGAGATTGCCCTCTACAACGTCACAAATTTACAATGCACAAACTCACAAACTTTACCTCTTTTTAATATTAGTATAGATTATAAATTTTTTAGAGAGACTTGACATTTAAGGTTTTCTAAGAGTTTGTAATCATCAATATCATTCAGCCACCAAATGGACATGAATACATCATACAAAAAGTGCAACCTCCCGTCCACTAGGGCGGCGCGCGCGTGTCACCTGTAGTGCAGCGTGTGGTGCAGGAAGCGGTTGGCGCCCAGGCCGTGCTCGCGCGACGCGTACAGCGGCGCCCAGTGCGAGGGCAGCGCGCACACCAGGCGCGCCAGCCACGCGGCGGTGGCGGGCGCGGCGTGCGCGGCGTGCGCGGGCGGCGCGGGCGGGCGCGCCGGCCGGCTGTACAGCGGCGGCGCGGCGGCGGCCAGCAGCCAGGCGGCGGCGGGGCGCAGCGCGGCGGCGGCGGGCGCCCAGGCCGCGCGCTCCAGCACCGGTGTGCCCAGCTCCAGCGCGGCCTCGCCGTCGCTCGCCAGCGTCTCCACGTCGCGGTGCCGCGTGGCCAGCATGTGCACGCAGTACCTGCGGAAGTCGCCGCGTGCGAACATATTATTATTATTTCAGACATTCGTTTGGTCTTCGATAAGATTCTTAAACATTCTTGCATTTACTTAAATCATGTAAAGAATGAAACTTACGCCGAAAATAAACATACTTTACCTGAAATAAAACAGTTTCAAAAAAAAGAAAAAATCCCTACAAAGGCCCTCAAAGAAATTCCACTATCAGATGACCAACGCAAACCTAAAGTATTTAGAACATCTGCACCTATTAACTTTTAAAACAAGAATTTTAAACACAAAAAACATATCACAAAATTGAAAATGCAATAGAAAGTATCAATTGAAACATTATTGGACTTTTTGAAGTTAGACAAGATAAATAAGACACGCTGAACAGTACTAAAAGAGTAATATATTTTATAAGAACCGGTAGTGAGCACGGCGATGGTTTCTAGTCTAAAACATGATAACATAACAAGCTAGCATTGATAACTCACTTAGGTAAAAACTGTTCTCAGATTCCATATATTCTACAAAAGATTTCGGATAATAGTTCAAGTTTATGCAGAACTGCGCGGAATTTGAATACTAGAGAAGGAAAATTTCACCGCGAAGTTAAAAATGGTCACACTACTCCAACAGCGCTGCTACATGGTTTAAATGATGTTATTGCAGCTCAGGATGAAGGAGAGGTACTGTTATACTTACACTTCTTATATTTTCGTTATATGAATATTCCGATTCTATATAAGCGAGCGTATTGTTCACCACTGACCTGTGCACGGGGAATATGAGCCTGTGACAGTGCTCCTCGAGCCAGCGCACCACGAAGCCGATGCTGTGCGAGTCCTTGTTGTTGAAGCAGCCGCGCACCACCGCCATCAGCGTCTTGTCCATCTGCGGACCACCATAAATACATCAATCTTTCGTAAGGTCTTCTCAGTATTGAAACATTTTTAAATAAAACTTTATGCGATTTCATTTTGATTTTTGGCTTTCAACGTTCCGAATGCTTTACGACAAACATGCTTACAGGACAGACAATGGATTTTAAGGGTTCAAAAACTACTAATTATTATTTATTAAAGACGGTGTTTATTTACAAAAATATTAACAAAATGTCGAATATTCGCGTGAATCTAAATTATATTGTTAGGGAAATTGCAGAAAAAGAATTTTGCAATTTATATATTCAATTTCTTTTGATTTTTGTGTGTAAAATGTAGATAACGGCCATAATGTTTGGTGGTATTCATAGTATATAATTAAGAGAATATCGCGATATTATTCTGAGGCTGTGTGGAGCTCACCATGATGTCCGTCTGCGGCCCGTCCGGGTAGTGGTCCATGGATAGCTTGTAGCTGACGTACAGCAAGCTCCTGAAGTCGTCCGTGGTCACCGTGCTCTCGTTGACGTCTGAACTGAACATTCTGTCACCAAAAGTGAAAATATTTAAATAAGTAGGTAAACCTATTTTAACTTTTCTTATTACAGTATATTATTATAAGTTAAATGATTTTTTTCTTTTAAAGGTTTTCTGGAAAATTGTCGCGGTTTTTAAAAGCAAAAATTAATTATGCAAATATTAAAAAAAAATATTTCTAATATTTACTTAAGAAAATCATTTTATATTTATCAAAGAAGAAATTATATTTTGAAAAAAAAAACAAAAAAATATTTACTAAAAGAGTTTGTATTAACGTCATAAGGCCCTCAAGCCTTATGACGTTTAGGAAGCGTACGAACTTCCAGTTTCTGACTTAATTAATAGGCCCACTATCGTTTTCCCCACTAAAGCATATAGTATAAACAGGATTTTCATGTAGGTGACAAATGAAATGCTCACCGAACATATGTCTCGATGATGGCGGAGTCGTCCAGCATGGCGAGTATCCTCTCGCACTGCTGTCGGAAGGTGGACAGCGGCACGTGCTTATTTTTACATTTGCCAATTCTGTGGATATAGCCATAGAACTGGCGCGCCAGATCTGGGTAGTTTGGGAACAGGTATTTCTGGAGAATAAAAAACAATTATGTAGTATCTCTAAACTATGTGTTAATGTATTCACACACACACACACATATATATATATATATATATATATATATATATATAAAAGCAAAAATTTGAAAAAATAAATATTCGTGAGCCTGTAACTTTGTTGTTATTAATGATATGAAAAAGTTGACAAGGACTTTATATAGGATTTTAAACGTACTACAAATTTACCATTTAACATTTTTCTGTAACTCTTACAGTTTAGCCAAAAAATGCAAAAAACCATAAATTTGAACTTTAAAGCTATATTGTAACAAATAAAATATTGAAGATATAAATTGGACTCAATGGAACTTTTTGTAGTAAATTTAATAGTAAAAACGGTCCATTCATTCATTTTTTTTGAAAAATATTTTTGTCATAGTTTGCAGGACAAAAAAGTGTTAAAAATCATATTTTCCATACAATTTGTATGGGAAAACTTAAAGTTCGATGGAGAACCTCTTAGAATTAGAATTTTGAGCTCCGCTTTTAACAGGAGCTTTGTTGGGACATTTTCTAAGATATTTTGGGGTGAGAGCGAAGAAATTTTTTGGCACACCCAAATATATATATATATATATATATATATATATATATATATATATATATATATATAATTAAGTCAACAGTGTCATTTACCCCGTGTGGGAATCAAACCAGAGACACGAACACTAGATCGCTAGTATAACCGCACACTGCGTTACGACCTATAACGATGGTCTTTAACATAATAAATGTTTACAGATAGAATGCTTGATTCTGTAGTCGTTACTAAGCTGGATATAACAGTGGTCACTGTTGAGTTGGGAAATATGTACATATATGTTAAAAGTTCGTCTTATATAAGGGTTTGCACTATAGTAAATTAAAAAAATTTACAAGAAGTGCATGGGACAGGCTATTTGACATATTTTAAATTACTAAAAAATATTCTTTGAAACCACCAAATTTTGATAATTGTTATAAACTTGTACATTTTCAGTATTTCTAATAATCAATTTGTATTGAAAATTCTTATAGAACTAATCGATGTTATACAATCTTATCATTGTATTCTAACGAACGTTTGTTTTTGCTATACTTCAGTATCTTCCGTTTGGATCTGATAAATGTTCCGATTCACAACAATTGTTGACTTGTAAGTCGCATTTAATGGAGCATCGACCTGACTGTGTTTGTTCAAAATAGGAACATGTTTTTTTACTCGAATAAGTCCGCATATATTCATTTCTTAACGAACTTACGTTTTAATTTCATTGGTGACATATCAAATGTAATTTAAAATTATAGAGCAAGATTCCAGGGCCACCAGACGTCACGTATTTTCTGACGAACGAAATGTGGACGATTGAGTAGTGTTAGTATGTACTAAGATCGCATGCCTACCTGCTAACTTGGTTAGACGGCCAATTTCTAGGTATCAGGTAATCCCCCCCAACGTGCGTTCACCTTGTCGTGGTGGGGGGGCTCAGTAGCAGTAGCGAAGCTAAGAAACGCACAGGGAGGTTGCCCACTTCGGTGGGCGGTGGGAGGTGGCCCTCTTCGGGGGTCGGTGTACCATGCGGGTTGCTCCTGGTACTTCTCTGATAGCAGAGTGGACTGTGGAGCAACCCCATGGTTGTGGTGGTCTGCTTCTATATATATATATATATATATATATATAATTAAGTCAACAGTGTCATTTACCCCGTGTGGGAATCAAACCAGAGACACGAACACTAGATCGCTAGTATAACCGCACACTGCGTTACGACCTATAACGATGGTCTTTAACATAATAAATGTTTACAGATAGAATGCTTGATTCTGTAGTCGTTACTAAGCTGGATATAACAGTGGTCACTGTTGAGTTGGGAAATATGTACATATATGTTAAAAGTTCGTCTTATATAAGGGTTTGCACTATAGTAAATTAAAAAAATTTACAAGAAGTGCATGGGACAGGCTATTTGACATATTTTAAATTACTAAAAAATATTCTTTGAAACCACCAAATTTTGATAATTGTTATAAACTTGTACATTTTCAGTATTTCTAATAATCAATTTGTATTGAAAATTCTTATAGAACTAATCGATGTTATACAATCTTATCATTGTATTCTAACGAACGTTTGTTTTTTGCTATACTTCAGTATCTTCCGTTTGGATCTGATAAATGTTCCGATTCACAACAATTGTTGACTTGTAAGTCGCATTTAATGGAGCATCGACCTGACTGTGTTTGTTCAAAATAGGAACATGTTTTTTTACTCGAATAAGTCCGCATATATTCATTTCTTAACGAACTTACGTTTTAATTTCATTGGTGACATATCAAATGTAATTTAAAATTATAGAGCAAGATTCCAGGGCCACCAGACGTCACGTATTTTCTGACGAACGAAATGTGGACGATTGAGTAGTGTTAGTATGTACTAAGATCGCATGCCTACCTGCTAACTTGGTTAGACGGCCAATTTCTAGGTATCAGGTAATCCCCCCCAACGTGCGTTCACCTTGTCGTGGTGGGGGGGCTCAGTAGCAGTAGCGAAGCTAAGAAACGCACAGGGAGGTTGCCCACTTCGGTGGGCGGTGGGAGGTGGCCCTCTTCGGGGGTCGGTGTACCATGCGGGTTGCTCCTGGTACTTCTCTGATAGCAGAGTGGACTGTGGAGCAACCCCATGGTTGTGGTGGTCTGCTTCGGCAGACCTGCCGTCGGGGCGTCGTAGTTGAATGCGTAAGCGATCCTGCGACGCCCCATTAAGACGGGGGAAGGTTTTGTTGGGTTTTAGTGGGTAGTACTGGCTGTATTACGCCGGTGAGTCCCACACGTCGTGCGTAAATGCATTTCCCAACGTTAAAAAAAAAAAAAAAGTATCAGGTAATCAAGATACCTCAAAAGATTACTTACCTCACGTACATTCTCCAAGCTGATTCTCACGTATATTTTAGACAATATCGTTAAAAATAACACACACGCTTTCCGTCGGCCGTATTGCTTTGCAGACACTTTAAAGATCCAAATATAATTACTTAACTTCACGTAAATTCTGATGCTCCATTTTTATATATGTTCGCCAGACAACTATTTAAAACCTTTTACAAGAAGACAGACCAATCCAAGGGGCCGATCACCCCCTAAACCCAATTTTCCTACCCACAGAAGCATTAAAATTGAGTTTAGAGTTAAAATACGTCTGGCGGCCCTGGGATCTTGCTCTATATAGGAAATTCTATAAATATATGAGTGTTATATGCCCAATATGCTTTATTTAATTATTGATTTGTTTTAATTTACTAGCAATATTTGCCAAAGTAGTTTTACTTCAAACGCGCGTAAAAGTTACACGCACCCATTTTTTTAAAGTTGTATTTTTTTTGTAGAACTAAAATTATCAAAATAGAATTTTCTCGAAAACCATTAGCAATTCGTTTAAGGCGAACCGTTCGTTTCCTTCAGCGAGTCATTGCGTGAGAAGTAGCAACGCGAGGATGCGCGGCATAGCATTGTTAGTGATTCCGAGCTAATTTGCCGGCGTCTAAACAATAATTGGTGAAGCGCGCAAATAATCGCTGTCGAATTACTTCACACGTCGCAAATTACTGCTACGATTTCATTTGGTTTCAGATAACCTACTATATTATGTTTCCAATATATTTATTCTAGGCAGTGGTAGCCCAGTGGTAACGAGCTTGCTTGGGAAACCGAGTGAAGCGGGTTCAAATCCCGGGTCTCGCACCTCTGATATTTTCATGTGCGAATCATTTCTAACATGATTACCACTTGCCTTACGGTGAAGAGAAAAACATCGTGAGGATATTTGTCAACCTATTTTCTTTTTTTTGTTTAGTAGCTATTGACGAGCCTTAGTGTTATCAACAAAAAAAAACCATAATGAATATGGTCGAATTCCACCACTGAGCGAACACTATTAATATTTTATTGTGCGACATTAAGGGCGGCACTCTATTGGGATGTCTATTTTTCTGTAATATTACTTTGATAGTTTCGCCAATTGTTAACCAATTTTCATGATTTATTTTAATAAATACGTGTTTCGTCAATGAAATGGAATTGGAAATAATATGTCACCCTCCCGAATGATAGAAGAAAACTGGGTTTGAACCCACTTCCACTATCACTCATGAATTGAAGATGCAAATAAACAAGTTCAATGTTTTTTCATAATTGTCGAGCTATATAGTATAACTACCACTGCCCGCGGCTCCGCCCGCGTTTAGATGACCAAATATCAAATTCTTAGGTTTTACATATTAGTATACTCTTACATTGCAGTTTTTGTATTTCTTCTCAGAAATGAGACATTTTCCCGCGGTAAAAAAGTATCCTATATGATGACCCGGATAACCAGCTATCACCATACCAAATTTCATCAAAATCCCTCCAGTGGTTTTTCTGTGATGCGGTAACAGACAGACAGACAAAAATTCTAAAAAGTATAGATTCGGCCTCTGTATCGATAATTGTTTCTATTTCAATAAGATTTTCCAAAGAATATTTAATGTACAGATTCGACTTTGTTAGAATTTTATTATATGTATAGAAATCTCGTAGAGGAGAAATAAAAAGAATATTATAAAAACGATCTTGTGACTTGTGAAAGCATTCGACATTGAATGAGACTTGCCTAATAATAACTGATTTAAATAGCGACACTTGACTGTACTTTGTTAAAAGTATTTCATTTAAAACTTTAGAAACTGACTCACCGATTTATAAATTAGTACGTGCGCCATTTATGTTGACTAATGTCTATTATATTTAAGACTAGTTATCACTCTCAGCTTTGCTCACGTTCACGAAGATAATGAAAAAAGCCAATGTCACATTCGTTCAAATCTACTTTACTATTTTTTTAAACTAAACTAAAAATTTAGTATCTACTATCTAGGTATATGTATATATAAAAAAAATTTCCAATTACCGTTCATTAGTCTTGCTAAAACTCAACAAAAACAGCTGGACCAATTTGAATAATTCTTCTTTTGTCTTGTTAAGTTAGGTTAGGGTGTGTCAGTCAGTTTGAGTATAAAAAAATAAAAAAAACCCATACTAACAGCTGGAAAATCGATAAGTTTGCGATTACAAACTTATTTTAATGTTTCATGCTACGGAACCCTCGATGTGCGAGTCAGGCTCGCGCTTGTCCGATTTTTTATGATCTAAAATGCTTTGAACTAAATGTTAGTTTACTTACGGTAAATGATTTTTCTGTGACACCGTTGATGCCATCTTCCTTTTGAGAACGTTGAGCGAGGAGCTGTGGACAAGGCAAGATAAATATTTATTTGTTGTTTTTGGCATCGGATAGTTCCGGTGTGCGATTTTTCATTATAGTAAGGTACTTAAAATCAAAAATATTTTCAATATTTTCTCTGTTTGTTTAGATAAATTTTCACACTTAAACTACTAAACCGATTTCGATAAAATTTATTGTAGGGACATTTTCAGAAATAGTTAAATATTTCTTATATTTTTCTATTCTATGAAACGCTATTTAAAAAAAAAATAGCTAGTCAATGGCGGGCGGGAACTCGTGTAATCAACCTCGAACCTTTACAATCTATTTGTAAAAGAAATAATAAATTTCATTACAGGCAATGAGTTGCAAGTAGCTCAGATGACTTGGAAATTAACAAGTTATCACCTATTATATATAAATAAATTTCTTCGAAGTTTGGAAACGATGTCAATGCTTCGATATAAGATACAATTTGAAGTAGCCTCTAACATTGAATTCCATGATTTGTTTACAATTTTACAAGATGAAGATAAATGCGTGTTGATAAAAGGAACCTATATTTTATTTGTGATTGACCGTTAAAAGTCACAGCGCGAGTTCGATTACCTTTTGCCCTCTTTTTACTATTTATTGTACTTTAAAGCTTTTATTGTATCATATAATCTAAACATAGCTTTCAGTGTACATATGTAATTTTGCACGTGGAGTGTCGCGGGTGGCGACTGGCGTGCATGCGTCACATGTTAGCTTTGGCGGCGCGTCAGTTACGAAGAAATTGTATCATATTCGTACGTACTGGCTTTATTGTTTGCAGAAGTACTGTGAAGCGAGATGCAAAGCTACTTTCATTTATAAATTTTTCATTACATAATATAAAGTTTGTATTTGTTCGAGCTAATCTTAGAAACTACTGGATTTTCATACGATTTTCACCGATGCAATGGAAAGAAGCGTTACATAGGAAGGATATAGACTTATAAAATATACATTTTGTGATACAGCTATTCACCTTTATCAGAATACACGCACGCACGCGCACGTGCGTACACGCACATGCGCAAGCACACACACACACACACACACGCACGGAGGCAGAGATAGAGAGCGAGAGAAAGAGAGTATGAATTATAAAGAATTAAAAAAATATATAAATTGCAAATAACAGTGATAGACTTGAAAATTTTATGCTAATATCTAGTTTTACAGAACAGTATACTGCAGTACCTACCTAGTAGTAAGAACGAGGTACAAGTACAGAGAGCACGTGAGAGTTGCAATTGCCGCAATTAATACTAATGAGTATACATTTAGAGATGTATTGAACAATTGCCGTATATTTATTTGCTGATATTGCACCTTGCATCATTGTTACCTTTAGTTATACCTATCTTATGAACTGAAAAAATTTACTTACCTACATGTTCTATTTAACTAACAATTTTTAATTAATCATTACAATTACTACATTATATGTAGGAGTATATGGTACGATGTTTTCCTAGCCGATTCCGGCTACGGCGGTCAATCTCATTGAGACTAGCCAACTGCGCAGGAGATATTATAGTGCACAAGTGTACGCGCAGACACAACGTGCACTCTCTATTCCTGTCACTCTCATACTCCGGTGGGACGACTGCTCGACACGACCAGTGAGAGTTAAGGCGCAGGACCGACGGCTTTACGTGCTCTCCGAGGCACGGGGGTGAAACACCGTCAACTTCCCAACTCCGGGCTGTTACTGAGTTACTATACAGAAAAACTCAAAAACTAAACTTGGGCCGACCCGGGACTCGAACCTAGGGCCTTCGGGTGTGCAGCCGTACATGCTAGCCACTACACCACCGAGGCAGAGCAGTATATGGTATAAGCACTAGCTGTATCCCGCTACTATGCTCGCATTGATGGAAATTGCTTTATAACGTAAATTTTAATTTAAAGAATAATCTTGTAAGGTGGACCTTATCACAGACTGATTCTTCTTCATTTCAAGTATTGGTTACGATCTGTTTTTGAAGAATATTATGCTTGAAAATAAGTTGGTGTCTTAGTGGCCATTAATTAATTACGTAGGGTAAATCTCTATATGCCTTTATCTCGCGAGGAAGGAGGGTAAAAGCCATTCTTACGTATAATATTTATATTATATGTAAGAATGAATATTTTATAAGTAGAAATGTGCGATTTCTAAGATAGAGTGATGGATATTTGAGAGCTAAGCGTTGGGAAAAACAACTCTGAGATCTATTATTTTTTTCATGTACAATTTTAAAATAAAAATCTTTGATTTTACTTACGTCAAATAATGAGTTTTGGGGCAATTGAGCCTTTTCTAAAACCAAATAAAATATCACGTAAGAACGTAAGAAGGGGGAGGGGTAGTCCGAGAAATCTTATGTACTCTTACATGAGGGGGAGTCAGAAATGGCCAAAATTGTCCTTACGTAAGTAATGGATGCCCTCTTAGTGATTTCTATTTCGTAAACATATTATCGTCAAATAATGCGTCCTTTAACAATATAAGCAGAAGATTTCATTTCCATTTTTTTATTCAGCAAATACCTATGTATCCCTAAATCTCTAATTTTCAAAAATCTTTTGTACTTAAAATTCATGCTGCTAGAATTTAGACCAGCGGTTACTACTGTGCGTTGGTCTCAAGCTAGTGACAGGCCGGTTTAGACTTTAGACTGAAGACACGGTACACTCATTTTATTCTGTATGTTGGGACATGTTGGGACATTAACACACACCACCATCTAGTTCCATGGTAAGCTACGAGGCCTAAACAAATCTTCTGTATATACAGAGTGTCTCTCTGTGAACGCGAGTGTCTCTACTTGTGAAATTTAATTGTGAAATTCGGTGTACACACTGTACCGTGTATACCGAGTGTCTTAGAATAAGCCGACACAATTTTATGAAGTGTATGACCGGACGTTATTATAAATCTACAGTAATATAAACCTACATACGTATTTATTTGTTTTTATTAATTGGTCTCAGGACTTAAACTTTTACATAATCACTTTACGCTAAAATCTGACCGATTGTAATAAAAAAACAAAGCGATAAGCCGACTAATAATCGTGATTGATTAAACTAGAGTAGGGTGACCATGCGGTACTCAATATTAGAATAGTAATTTAATTATAACCTGTTTTTTTTTTAATAATGTTTCTTTTTTAATTTTGCACTGAACAACTGTGATTCTATCACCGGAGTTTAATTCTATAATGTATTGTCAAAATCTTCCTTCTGTTAACAGGAAAAATATTACGTTTTCGCATCCAAGGAATGCCCAATATTTTTAGCGTTCACGTTATATTGTACAATATTTATCCTATTGTTTGTTTATAAATAAAATGTTAGAATCTAAAAAACCTACAAAACAACACAAGTGAATTATTTCAGTCATTTCTTAGACCATAACAACCAAGTTTTGCAAAGAGTTATTCAAAATAGTTCTTAAACATGTGTGCTTAAAGCTCTAAATATTTTGTTCAACATTGTAAAACAATTGATTCTGCATAACTAACTTGATTATTCGTCTAAATATGGTCACATTATCGTCGTAATAACCTTCATCGTCCAGGTTTAGGCTTAGAGGATAATTGATTCTACGTGCTTACGTATGTGCGTGTATGTAAATTAATGAGGTAGATAGTTTTTATTTATAGTATACTAGATTTTCCCGCGGCTACACTCGCATAGTTTATTTATGTATAACTTTTTCGATCCTAATGCGTAGTGTCATGCTAGATAAATAAAATAAATAAATATGTAGGGACATTAACACACAGCACCATCTAGTTCCATGGTAAGCTGCGAGGCTTGCGTTATGGATACCAGATAGTTGATACACCATACATATATAACTTTAAATATACATCCATATTATAAATATAAACACCCATGACTGGAATACAAGAATTCGTGTTCATCACACAAATGCCCCCGGCGCTGGCACAGCAAGTAGGGTCACTACAAACAGAGCCAAACGTGTTGTCGGTAGATATATAACCTTTTTCAAGAATTGGGCTAACAAATGCAAAAAAGGTTTTTCAAATACGTCTGTAGTTCCAGAGATTATCGCGTTCAAACAAAAACACAAACGGTCTATCAGCGGTATTATGTTGGTATAGATTTTAATAAATTTTTTTTTCTTTGAAAGATTTTCCTTTTGTGGAAGATCTAGAGAACCTAAGCTTTAGCTTCTATATCTCTAAATTGACCTTACGATACTAATTCACTTGCGCAAAAATCAAACCTGCGGCTCCCAAAGAACTGCGCCAGACAAACACATGTGCATCATCATAGCGTTATTTTTAAAATTTCATATTAGATTATTATAAATTACTTTATCAACTAGTGGCATAAGAACAGTTTATTTGCGTTAGTTGTGTAAACGTGGTAATACTTTCTATAATCATTTAGATTTTGATGATTGTTTTTTTTATTCATTATTATTGAACAAGTGGATGGATGTGAGATGGAGTGGATGGATGTATTTAAATATATTTAAGAGTTACGTGTAAATATATATTTTTACAAAAATCAGAAAACAATCGATTATCAAAAGAATCATTGTGATTTAAGCATGCGGTAGGATACAAATATAACGTATAACGCTTGTACATAGACTAAGCAACTATAAAAGGAAGAGTATAAAAAGATTTGACACACTAAATATTCTAATTTTGATGGATTTTGTAAATAAATTAAAACGTATAACTTATAAGTGATGATAAAAATATCATGAGATGATATTAATAACAATCATACATTTTCGATTTCATAATGAATTCACGTTTAAACTCATAAGATGTAGTGGTTCATACAAAGAGTGACGACACGTTTGGCTCAGCTTTTAGTGACCCTACTTGATGTGTCAGCGGTCGTGGGTTTGAGTCCCGCCGGGGGCATTCGTGTGATGAGCATGAATTGTTGTATTCCAGTCATGGGTCTTTATATTTATAATATGTATATGTATTTATAATATCTATGTATTTAAAGTTATATATTATGTCTTTAACATGGAACTAGATGGTGCTGTGTGTTAATGTCCCAACAGATTTATTTTAAGAGTTACCTTGCATGCAATTTTGACTTTTAGCTTCTTATTTGCTTTGGGTCGTCGCGCCTGCAGGCCAATTTCATTCAACCGCAACTCCTTAGCCACCACGAGTAATCCATCCATAGCACGACAAAAAAATCAATCGAAACTAAAACGATAGATAAATCGGGACTTATCTCCGAATCTACGATAAAATTGTCACTGGAATATTAATTATTTATTAAGCAAATCGCGTAAAGACAGCATCGCTTGAGGAGCTGATATGAAATGCACTGAATTGGTTTTGATTGAACGAATTGTGCAGCAATCATGTGATTTGAATTTATCAACGCTCTACCTTTTGCTGTACGGTGCGTCCAGTGAAAAGGTTGCGCTATATTAATTAGTATAATATTTAAACGCTGCGACGGTACCACATCGACACAGGTATAAAGATATTTGAAATAACTAATCTATACTTAATATTATAAAGAAACAAAATTTGTTTGTTTGTACCGAATAGGCTCTGAAACCACTGAACCGATTTAGATGAAACTTCGTAAGAAGATAGTTTAAGACCCTAGGAAGGACATAGGATAGTTTTTATCCCGGAAATCATCTCTTAAAAGAGTGAAAATGGGGATGAGACATTGTATGGGGAAGCAACCTAGGGACGAACCCGAGCGAAGCGAGGGTGAGTCGCTCGTATATTATATAACAAAGCCACTTCATACTATGTATATATAAATGGAATGGTATATATAAAAGTATATCATTACTGTTACAGTGCCCATTGGGCCAATTTTATTGAAATAGTCATTGATCAAAAAACTATTAGATAAACAACCAGCCACCAAAAATGTCCCCATCGAATGAGCACTCATTTGAACATTAAAGTGCGGTTTTAATTTAAATTTTTCTTTGGGAAAACAACTTTAATACTGCATTTAAGGTTCAATTTACGTTATTGTATATTTATTTCAACTAGAATAATTACCTAAACACAATTGGTGACAATTGTAACTTGTACGAGACCTTTTGCATGGGATTGTGTATGTAGTACTTTTTTGATTGATGGAAATAATTAACTTCCTTAATGACATCTTTGGATTAAAAAAAGTTTTAAAGCTTTATATCATGCCATGGACGATAAGACAAGTGGTAATCATGTTGGAAATGATTTGCATATGGAAATATCAGAGGTGCGAGACCCGGGATTTGAACTCGCTTCATTCGGTTTCCCAAGCGAGCGCGTTACCACTGGGCTACTACTGCCTTCCCTTTATAAAACCTGCCTTTAATCTATACTAATATTATAAAGAGGTAAAGTTTGTGAGATTGTGAGTTGGTGAATTTGTGACGTTGTAGGGGGTAATCTCTGGATCTACTGAACCGATTCTGAAGATAGTTTGAGACCCTGGGACTTAGACATACAATACTTTTTATCCTGAAAATCATTCCTTAAGAGGGTGAAAATGGGAATGAAAGTTTGTATCGGGAAGCAAGCTAGGGACGAACCCGAGTGAAGCGAGGGTGAGTCGCTAGTAAACAATATTAGCAATTGTGCACAATATAATCAATTAGTACATTTAGATGAAAACTTTTTCAAATCGTACTTGTATACTTGAAATTTGTGTTTTCAAATAAAACTTTTAAAATATTGATGTAGGTTACTATTAGAGACAGATTAAGGGACGAGCAACTAAGGCTGCTGTGTCACAATAATATTTCTATGAGTCCAAAATTCGATTTTTAATTTTAATCTATAAATTTGGCTTACCAAAAATCGGAAAGCTGTTTTTTTGGCTTTTTTGATGCCCTTTCTATTTAATGATTTATGCAAACCCCCACTAAAAAGGCTCTTGGCTGTCTAAAATAAACTAGAAGTGCTCATATATTATAACATAATTTGCAAAATGTATGCATATTGTGAGAATGGCTGAGTTGTTGAATAGTGAGTTCAGTCAGTCATATCATTTATATTTAAAGCAGATGCTACAATTATTATTAGCAGTTAAGTGTAATACTGAGCTACCATGCTAATTGATGGTACAACCAATCATCTTTATAAATATCATGTAAGTGAGCACACTTGGTTTATTAAATTACTAAATAAGACATTGAGGTTTTGACTGATTGATGATTTGATTTGATTGATTTAAAATTTTGGTTTTCCATGTAAACAACTATGCTGTGCATGTGCTATTCGGACTGTAATCTATCTCTGTGCCCTGTGTGTGGTCTGTCTGAGTAACAAATATCCATCTAAACTTTTACTTTTATACTATTAATCATTATTAATAATATATAATTGAATTGATTGGATGGATAATTGGATTGTTCTTTTAGCTCTAGCAAACTATTTATATTGCAAATTTTTATTAAAAGCATACCTAGAGTTGCCAGTGTAATGTAAATAATTATACAATACATATACATAAAATATAATACATATAGTCATTATATTATGTTAATTAATATATTTAAACAGTTTACTAAATCTCCATAAAATTTGACTAATCTTGATTAAGTCAAAATATAAGAACATGAAGTTTTTACTCTGTAATTTTTTACAATTTGTTATATCATAATTTAAAATGTCATATTACTAAGTAATATAAATCTACAATCACTATTTTAAAAAGTAATATTATATTATACATGTAAAGAAAACCACCTCACTCATATATGAGTGCTTTTCTTAAATGTTGTTTCTTTTGTATTTACAGGTGAGCTAATATCTTGTCAACTGGTAATGTTCAAATATTGCAAGTCTTTCAATGAAATAATATTTTGTGTTTACGGAGAAACACATTTTCTCTTTATTTATTTTTTATTTAAGAGAATAATATCATTATATAGAATGAATATGATAAGAATGAATAATATAAGTATTTACCTAAAGGTAATGTTATTATAATTTTATAGAAATATTGAATAATTTTTATTGACTTACAATGGTGTTATGATTTATTTTATAAAATTTTAATATTTTATATTCAAAATATAAAAAATCAGTTTCAAGTTTTCATACAATTTGCTTCTTATAAACATTAAATACAAAATTATTCATTCAAACTTCAATCATATCAGATAATCTTATCTTAATCAGTCATGTTATATCTATAAAAAATCTGCTTTTTATTTTGTAGTCATTTAACAGGCACATTATTATTCACAACATACATTGGAAACTTTCATAACAAATATTTCGTCTATTCTTCTTATCAAATGACTCAAATCGCACTCAAGGGCAAACAAAATAAATAACGGAACAAAACTTTAAAAAATATGTGCAAATATAATATAATGTTGATGTCGGTAATTAATTCATGAAAGTAATGTGTAGATAACCTTACCTTGCCGAGTTTTTCCACGGGCACTAAGGAGGCTGTTTGAGGTTCCGATTTTTCCTGCTGGCCTTGTAGATCACCGGAGCCAGACCGAGTGGCCCGAGTAGATCCTCGAGGGGTACTGGTTCCACTGCCACCATCGGACCCTTTCTCGTGTGTATTATGATTACCCATTTTTATAATAGCACTCCACTTATTTTGAATTAAGAAAGACTGCTATTCTAATATAGATTGTAGATTTTTTTGAAATAAATACAGTCACACATTTGCTGTTTGCAAATGAATGTTAAAAAATAAAAATTCGATTGATGTGTCATTTGTCTATTAATGTCAATGTCAGATGTCAGCATTGACATCGGCAGCTCTCTCAGTTGAAGTTTAAGTTTTATTTGTCATCCATGTTTAAAAGAATGATTATCTGTGTCATATTTTAGTTATTGAGTCTTTCTGTGTAGAAAGCCTCAGTAGCAGCCCGGAGTTGGGAAGTTGGCGGTGTTTCACCCCCGTGCCTCGGAGAGCACGTAAAGCCGTCGGTCCTGCGCCTTAACTCTCACTGGTCGTGTCGAGTAGTCGTCCCACCGGAGTAAGAGAGTGACAGGAATAGAGAGTGCACTTGTGTCTGCGCGTACACTTATGCACTATAATATCTCCTGCGCAGTTGGCTAGTCTCAATGAGATTGGCCGCCGTGGCCGGCATCGGTCAGGAGAACATCATATTTTATAGTAAATAGTGAGGAAGATTTCTCTAAAGGAAGGCGCCACACGTATGGCCTATTTACATTCAGTCTGAGGTTATGGAACTTTGTCATGCATGTGAAATACACAGAAAGTAGTGTTTAGCTTTAAGATAAAAAATAAGAAATTACATTTACTTCTTTTTTTTGAAATTCATCATATGGGTGTTCAGTTCTCGAGGAGTAAGCTCAGCTTTGCATTTGTGTGAGTGATAGCCAAAAGTAAGGTTAGTCAAAAAAAAAACACATAAAAATAAAATCAATATTTTATCAGAAGGAAATGCTGACATTTTAGTTATTAAATAAAAGAAGTCATGAGGACTGCCGACAGAAGTGAAAATTTAAAACTATGAACAAACAGTTGTTATTTTCGGATATGCAAATTAATTGTTAGATCTTAAATTAAAATTTGTAAATTAAAACTGCATTATTTAACATATATCTGGTTTTAACATTTATCGGCACTCGTTCATACTCGTAACATGTTCGTTCACTTTGCACAAAATTTCTTTCGTTTGGCTGCCTAATGGTTTTCATCTAAGACATACAGAAGACATACACGTTTCAACCTTGCCGCGAGATGTACATATATACTTATATATCCTAAACTGTTTTTTAAAATGTAAAATGATGAAAGAAACCTAAAAATGATTTTTAAATACTTATTCAACGATACCCCACTTGACATAAGTTCGTCGATTTTCTTTTTTTCTTTTTTACAATATGTAATCAAGCGTCCCCATATTTAATATTTTTTTATGTCACCTATCTAAGAACACTTGGACTAAAGAGACGAATCTAACGATACCTTAATTAAAGAAATCCATCAAGCGGTTTGGAAGATATGAGGGAATAAAGAATATCACAAATAAACACAAAGATAGGCGCGAAAAACACAACCCTTTCCTTGCAGTCGGGTAAAATTATTGCGGGTTCGTGAAAACAATTTTTTGATTAAGGGACCCGTTTTTAATATATTAAAGTAGCTTTAAAGCGTGCTAATTTTTTTTAGAGTCAAATGCCACCAACAAAGAATAGTTTTCAATTAGCGTTTTTTTAATTTATTTGTATGAGATGGGTATCTGTACTACTACAGTAAATTCGCAGAAAATAAAACAATTGCATTGTTTAATAAAATATATTTTATATCAAATTACACAATATCACATATTGTAACTTGTTAGTGAATACTTTATTATTATTCATTACATTTCGTACAATTAGACAGAATATTTTCAATATTATAAACTACTAATTTCTATTACTATTATAACTACATAAATATTAACACTTTTCAAATAAAAACTAAGTACCTAGGTAAGATAGGTAATGGACATTGAAGATACATACACAACGGCGACAGTTGAAAAAATATGAGAACAACAAATTGGTTGAAAATATTCAGAATAACTTATAGTATTCAGCCACCTGCCATTTAAAAAAAAATACAAAAAATACCTATAGGTAGTATAATTTAAATAATTTAAGAATTATTCCGAAACCAAACTTTATTTATCTTTATTTTTGATCTTTTCTAATTTATACATATAATAAAATTGTAACTAAGCCAAATCTGTACATTAGATGATTTTTGGAAAATCTTATTGAAATAAGCATTATTATCGATACAGAGACCGAATCTATAGTTTTTAGAATTTTTGTTTGTCTTTCTGTCTGCCTGTTACCGCATCACAGAAAAACCACTTGATGAAATATGATATGGTGATAGCTGGTAATCTGGGTCAACATATAGGAGACTCTTTACCGCGGGAAAATATCTCATTACTGAGAAAAAATACAAAAAAACTGCATTGTAAGATTATACTAATATGTAAAACCTAAAAATATGGATTTTGGTCACCTGAACGCGGGCGGAGCCGCGGGCTATGCTAGTTATAACTAAGTTAAAACTTATGATTACATATATGTATAACACACTTATACACATATAATATAATAATACCATCGTATTAATATAAATTACATTATTTCAAGTTTATATAAAAGCATGGTCTAAGTTACTTTTACTGATTTGTGGTGTAATTAAATGTGCTTAAGTAAACGTATATTTAGCCCACCGTTAACGTCCCACTGCTGGGGGTGGGCCTCCCTTCAGTAAGAGGGGGATCAGGCCATAGTCCACCACACTGGCCAAGTGCGGGTTGGCGGACTTCATATGTCTTTTGAAAACTTGTTAGGTTCTCTCAGACATGCAGGTTTCCTCACGATATTTTCCTTCACCGTTAAGATAAGTGGTAATCATGTTAGAAATACAAATTATGATGAATATTAATTTATAATTAACATTTTAAATTATTTCCTGCACAATTTTGTTAAATTAATTCTGGCAGAATAAACAAATTACCAAAGGCGCGTGAATTCAAAAACACCACAACTTTTTTTTATTACGTCTATAAGCGGATATAACATCTTAAGTTTTTTAATTTGTAAGTAATATTTTTAATTTGTTATTTAATGACCTTTTTGTAAATCAGGAGCTATTAATTTTACCATCAGATTAAATCTTCTAGTCGGGGGTTTAACACAGTCGTTATCACACTGCGGCTTAAATCAAATCAGTTCTAGCCTTATTAATTAAATGAGGCTTAATTTAGTGTTAATATGGACACCTATGGACCTTCAAATCTTAAAATAAACTTCTATAACAATCCATTATAGAAGCATTTAAATCGGCGGTCCGAGATCACGGGTTTGATTCCCGAAGGGGTCAAATGTATTTGTAGAGGTTGTCCCAGTCTGGTGTTAAGACCGCCTTACTCGTCGTTACAGGAGGCCAGGAACGACGAAAAGTAATAAAATTTCTAAAGTGCCAGACATACATGTTACCATTAATGTGTGGGGCTGTGCTTATATTTGCCAAACTACCCGTGATTTTTGAAAAATTTGAACGTGTCCTGGACCTAAGGGCTTAGTTAAAAACAGCTTCCAAGAACTTCTGCATGGGCGCCTCCACCAGCAGGTGCAGCGGCAGGGCCGTCAGGTATGTCATGAAGAGGACGCCCAGCCAGTGCTCGCCCTGTACAATTTCATAAAAATTATAATTATATTCATAATTTATAAAATCAATTATAAAATCATTACCAGCGAATAAAGTGTGAAGTAAATAAAAAAGTATCAAGATATACTTAATTATAATGAAGTATATCTTGATCTTATATGGTATCATAGTACCTACCTACTTATGTGTTGGATAGATTTCTACGCGCAAAGAGCCTTTAGAAAGCTAATATTTGCAATTGGAAAAAATATTTTGATTATTATTGTTTCATGAAAATGGTAAAAAGAAGCGTAATCATTAGAAAAGTATTTTTTTCCGATAAAGTTAAGTGTTTGAATTTTCCAAAATGTCTTTTCGTTCTATTTTATTTATGTACCTTACATTAAATGTTGAGCAAACTCACTTGAGTGTGAAGCTTACAAATGATATTTGGTCGAATTTCGTTTCCACCTAAGTAGGTGGTCGGGTAGTCGGGAGAATAGTTTTAGAAGGATCCACTACCACCAGTCCGCTTGTACTTAAAGTCCACTTTCTTTTCACCGATAGTGATGAAATCATAATAAGTATGAAAATGTATGCAACTTCGCAAATTACTACAAAACAGCATTACCCAATATTATCTCGGTAAAATTTGATATCACCAAAACTAGTATCACTGAATATGGAAGAGCTGCAAGAGTTTTCTCTGCAGGCTCTACTTGTATACATAACACAACAGTAATCTACATATCGGTTGGCTGACTCACGATGGTGTAGATGCCGATGCTGACTGGCGCGGTGCGCAAGCCCAACAGCATCAGGTTGTAGGCCCAGTGCACCAGTAGCACGGCCAGTGACATACGGCTGAGCACGCGCCATGCACTCCACGACACCAGGCTGCGGAACACGTCTGTGGGACAAGCCAAGTTATACGTAAGAAATATTATTCACTACTGATTTATCCTCTGGTTTACCCTCACTTCGCTGTGATACACCGCTGGGGAGATAGTTCACAAAGTAGTTTTTAAACGAAGTTTTTAAATTACAGAAAATTATTAAATATAATATTACATTTTTTATACAACATAGACGATGATAGATAGATGTGGCGTTGTTGGTACCATAAAGTTAGATGATGGAGTCTGAACTGATGTTAAATGTTAATATAGAAACTAAATACCAATAGGCGGCCTCTGTATCGATAATAATGTTTATTTCAATACGATTTTCCAAAAAATATTTAATGTACAGATTCGGCTTAGTTACAATTTTATTATATGTAGGTATAGAATATGACTAGTTTTTATTGTACCATCTTAAGGGATCGCCTTAATTTTTTACTTTTTTTTTAATTGGTAGACTATCCTCCTAAATAATGCATTTTTAAAAATAAACCGTCAACCCTGTATTACAGTTTAAAAGAGCCATGGTGATAACTGATAAGCCATTACTATGACAGCGTAGGTTTTTCAGAAGAAAGGTCAAAACTTTATGGTACCTTTTTTTTTAACGTTGGGAAATGCATTTACGCACGAGGTGTGGGACTCACCGGCAAAGCCAGTACTACCCACTAAAACCCAACAAAGCCTTCCCCCGTCTTAATGGGGCGTCGCAGGATCGCTTACGCATTCAACTACGACGCCCCGACGGCAGGTCTGCCGAAGCAGACCACAACAACCACGGGGTTGCTCCAAGGTCCACTCTGCTATCAGAGAAGTACCAGGAGCAGCCCGCATGGTACACCGCCCTCCGAAGAGGGCCACCTCCCACCGCCCACCGAAGTGGGCCACCTCCCTGTGCGTTTCTTGGCTTCGCGCCCGGTTGGGTTGTCGGGCACTACTGAGCCCCCCACCACGATAAGGTGAACGCACGTTGGGGGGAAAAAAAACTTTATGGTACCTACGGAATCTCAAAAAGCGGTAATATTGTATAATTTATAATAATAAAATTAATATACTAATTAGATGCTTAACATGTTAATGTCACAGAACTCGTGGCAACAAATCTATCAATTAATTGTTTTTCGATCGTTAAAATCGAAAGTCAGTCAGTCATCGAACTGACCTTTAAAATATCCGTTTTAGACGTAATCAATAACAAGTGTTGTAATTTTATTGATAATCGCGATTATTAGAATTTTCATAGTCGAAGCACCTTGATCGCTTACAGCTTAGCCTTCACGTAATACTAAATGCGGATACACACATTAATAAATATACAGTTATGGGCATATTTACGTAAGATTTCGCTTATGTTTGGACAAATCGTAATAAAAAAGCTTCTTTTAGAAATACCAATTTTGGTATTAACAATTTTATCATTTTCTGAAGAACCACTTAATTTATAGGGATTAAAAGTACTTTTAAACACTCTCTGTGCTATCTCCAAGCCAAGAAACATACGAGCACATGTTTACACAGCTTACTTTGATTTGAACAATGATGGAGTCAGGAGGTGGTTAGTGGAACCCTACCATGGTATTTGTGAAATCTGGGTAACTTTCTTTCGTTATATTTAAAAGGCTTGTTTTTTTAGGTTGATAAAACCATAATTAACAAAAAATATATCTGTTACACATAACACAGTAATGTATGTGTGCAATACACATATAGTATGTATATTTTATAATATATGTCCAATACAATCGTATGCATGAGCAAAAATTGATGCGTAAATAAAGAATCAATTATTACTAATTACTTCTGCTCTACTATAATAGAAGCTGCATAATACATTTATACATAGTCATTCATGAAATATATTCAGCCTTTTTTAAGTTCCCATTGAGCAAGGGCCATCTTTTAATACGTGGAGGTTCCGGCTATCCGGTTATCCGCTGGCCAAGTACGGGTTGGCGCATTTCACATGTCTTTCAAAAATTGCTAGGTTCTCTTAAACAAGCAGGTTTCCTCACGATGTTTTCCTTCGCCGTAAAACAAGTGGTAATCATGTTGGAAATATTTCGCACATGGAAATATCAGAAGTGCGAGATCCGGGATATCTATACGCTTTCCTCCGTTTCCCAATAATAATATACTAGCGAGTCACCCTCGCTTCGCTTTGGTGCGTTCCTAGCTTGCTTCCCAATGCAAACTTTCATCCCCATTTTCACCCCCGTAAAAGATGATTTCCGGAATAAAAAGTATTCTATGTCCTTCCCAGGGTCTCAAACTATCTTCTTACTAAATGTCATTTAAATCGGTTCAGTAGATCCAGAGATACTCCTATAACGTCACAAACTTACAAACTTTACCTCTTTATAATATTAGTATAGATAATATAAAAAAAGTCAATAAATGAATAATAATTAATAAAAAAACACTAACTTTTGATGTCGTAGAAGAAGCCGAGCAAGGCGACGAACACGATGAGGTCGAAGACGGGGCGCTCGAGCGCGGAGTACAGCGCGCGCGGCGCCGGCGCGGCCCAGTCGCGCGCCGCACAGCCGCCGAGAATCCACGCGAACGCGGCGGGGATAGACACCGCGTACGCCGCGCGGAACACCTGTTATACGCAAGAGGATATCTTACACGAACTTCTCTAGACAAAACTATCGGTAAAATATTATGAATTTCAAAAGTAAAATGTGCTAAGCCGCTTGGCTTGCAAGATTGGTAAAAAAATCGAGGTATCTAGCGGTAGCCTATATGTGACTCCAGGTCTTAGTCTATCCACGTAATAAGCGAACAAATCCTTCCCGCTTTTTCAGCGTGACGAAAATATATAATAATAGCAGCTGATTCTATGTCATTCAAGCTTTAAGTATTTCTAGAAATTACTTGCCTTATTTTCATGTAGATTATAGCAGTTAGTCTTCATCAAATGATAGGCGAAGGCGAGGAAGAGCCCGAGGATGGAGGCGGGCAAGCTGAACCACGGGCTCGCGTATAGCCACTGGAAGGAAGGCTCCCCAAAGAACTGCTGTCTAATTGCTCTGTAGATAATTATAACAATAAAGTTTTAACTTGGTATGTTACGTAACATCTTTGGTAAGGTCCTAGGTTTGAGACAAGGACTATGCTTATGTGCCTTCCAAAAAACTAAATTTTCATCATTAGCTTTTTTGTATTTTCTATTCAGGAATCGAACGCATTACTTTTGAAGTATAAGCACCCCTTGTAGCCAATATCTCGTTCGCGTGATAAATTGTGGACACATAGTTTTGGGTTTTAGAGAATTCATCCTATATATGAAGAAATGGTCTTATAAAAACACTTACTCTGGTTCACTGATGTATAGGATAGTATTTAAATTGAAGAAGTATGATATAAAGAAGTTCATGACGACGGAGAGCACGAAGAGCCCGGAGAGCAGGCGCAGTGCGAGGCGCGTGTGTCGCGCGAGCGCCACCAGCAGCACGGACGCCACCAAGTACAGCTGCATGTCGGTCGCTAGGAACCTAGGAAGTATGGGTTTGTTTCAGACTTAATAGGAATTGAATATAACATTTTCAATAAGACAAGAGCAATAGAGTAAAAAAGTTGTAAAGAAATATAAGCATTAAACTAACTTTCATAGCCAATTAAGTATTTATCCTATATTCTTAAACGATCAATTTTTGTATATATATATATATATATATATATATATATATATATTCTGAATCTCGGAAACGGCTCCAACTATTTTCATGAAATTTAGCATGCAGGGCGTTTCGGGGTCGATCACGCTCTGGTGTATGCATCGTGGTCAAGCGGCTAAGGTGCAAGATCAACAATTACAGGTGTCCAGGTTCGAATGTCGGTCGCATACAAAGTTTTTACTTTTGTTTTTTTTTTTATATTTATTTAAGTTTTTAGTTTAAAAAAAATAAGAAAATTGTACTTCAGGCCAAAAACTCCGAGCGAACCTCGGTAGCCCAGGTACTTTTGATTATAAGCAAAACATATTTGTATCACAGAAGCTGTAAAATTTTAGGTTTAATACCTGTTGTCCTTTAGTAAAAAATTCATAATAGTTTTTTTTTACTATGAAAGATTACTAAGTAAATAGACAAAAGGGAAAAATGGATTATTCCTAATAAATATTTCTCAGTAATCTGCGGTATGTTTTGCATAAGAAAATCGAAATTCTTATTATATGGCTGATTTATTTATCTTTTTCTGTAATTGATTTCCATAAACACGTCAGACAGATTAAAATGGCAATAAATCCTTCTAATAGTAGTTTTATTTATAACTAGCGACTCACCGTTGTTCCGCTCGGTTTCGTCCCTAGAGACAATCTAAATATGTTTTAACGGTTAGTATAAATTTCTCAGAAATGAGAAATTTTCCTGCAGTAAAAAATCCTATATGTTGACCCAGATAACCAGCTATCATCATAGAAAATTTCATCAAAATCCCTCCAGTAGTTTTCCCGTGATGCGGTCTCAGACAGACAGACAAAAATCCTAAGAACTATAGATTCGGCCTCTGTGTCGATAATAATGTCTATATCAATAAGAATTTCCAAAAAAATATTTAATGTACAGATTCGGCTTAGTTACAATATCATTATATGTATATGTAGATATAGATAAGATTCACGTAATAACAAAAAAATTAAAACCGACTTCAAACAAAAGCAGTAAAAAGTAAAAAATAACTGATTGGTAGTTTTCATTTACTATACATACCTAATCAAATATTTTCGAAATCGGTGCCAGCCCATACAAAGCAAAGCACACCGACTTCGAAAATATTTGATTAGGTATGTATAGTAAATGAAAACTACCAATCAGTTATTTTTTACTTTTTAGTGCTTTTGTTTGAAGTCGGTTTTAATTTTTTTGTTAAAAAGTTTTTATTTTTCCCTTTTTAGTGTAGACAGTAGTAGCAAAGTAAGGATTCTAACGTGTTAGGCTTGTCAAATTAAACATAATAAGCCCAAACTCAAAGTATCTACCATTAGCCGTTGACGAGTTCCACCTATCCACCTTCTGGCCTTGCCATCAGATCAGGTCAACAACACCGAACCACTGTACTATCAACGGAAATAGAAATACTTGCAAAGTTTCAAGTCAATATGACAATTAGAAGTAGGTTAAATTCATCATTAGTTGTTTTTCCACCCTTAGGGGTGGTATTTTTTTTTGAAATTTAAATGGGACCAATCTGGAAGTATACCCTTTCAAACAAAACAAAAATTGTTCAAATCGGTTAATAAATGACGGAGTTCTGAGGTAACAAACATAAAAAAAACATACAGTCGAATTGAGAACCTCCTCCTTTTTGAAGTCGGTTGAAAACCGGAATAGTGTGAGTCACTCACGTTCCCAAGGTTTCATTCCACCCTATTTTTGTGTTACCACTAGTGAATGCACCGCCTGGTCTCCCTAACTCCATGCCTGATTTAATCTATCTTTAGTATTCTATCTATTTAGTCTATCTATAATATATAGGGTCATTTTTAATTTACTGAATACCTTTTCGGAATATACTATTTACTATCATAACATATCATCATATATATCATATCATAACAACAACATCTGTAAGAGAAAAAAAAATATTTCTTAAATTTTACAAAAATAAAAATATTTTTATTGCACCTTCTCAACGGTAATGATATGATATGATATTCTCCTAACCGATTCCGGCCACGGCGGCCAATCTCATTGAGACTAGCCAACTGCGCAGGAGATATTATAGTGCACAAGTGTACGCGCAGACACAACGTGCACTCTCTATTCTTGTCACTCTCATACTCCGGTGGGACGACTGCTCGACACGACCAGTAAGAGTTAAGGCGCAGGACGGACGGCTTTACGTGCTCTCCGAGGCACGGGGGTGAAACACCGCCAACTTCCCAACTCCGGGCTGTTACTGAGGCTTACTATACAGAAAGACTCAATAACTAAACTTGGCCCGACCCGGGACTCGAACCCAGAACCTTCGGGTGTGCAGCCGTACATGCTAGCCACTACACCACCGAGGCAGTTTAAATCTACGTCTATACATATAATAAAATTATAACTGATCGCTGTCAGTACATGGAAGATATTTGAGAAGAACAGTTATTATTGAGGGTCTTTATTAATGCAATAGGACCCAAAACAATGATTTTTAGAATTGTTTATTTGTCTGTGCGTCTGTCCGCGCTAATCTCAGAAACTGCTTAAGCGATTTCGGTGCGGTTGCCACAAATATATTTTCGTGAACTTCACTTAAAATTTGGTATTTGTTTTACTTCAATCGGTTCATAAATAAAAATTATTTTTAAATTAAAGAATTACCCCAGCGAGGGTGAGTCGCTAGTAGTAAGATATATGTGAGTAATGGTACTTATAACAATGAAATAAAAAATGTTGATTATATAGAGTATTTCCGTATACAGATAATAAATAATAAAAATAATTTTATGAGAAATATTAAAGGGAAATCTTAAGTAAACTATGTTAGTTGTTTAATGTTAATGATTGCTTTTGCGGTTTTGTTTTGATTATTGATTACTGAAGTTTCGAATGCTTTACAGCAATCGTGGCCACGACTCACGGACCAGACTAGCAATAAGAAGAAAAAGATTTATTAAAAACTAGCGACTCACCCTCGCATATTGTATAGATTTCTGTCCAGTGGTTTTCTCGTGATGCGTTTCCAGACAGACAGATAGACAGACAAAAATCTAAAAACTATAGATTTGGCCTCTAAAAAAGTATTATGCTTGGATCTTTTTAACCTTTAAAATTAAAGGTCAATCCAAAAATTTTATTGATATCAGACCATCCGCCCCTAGAAAGATGCTCAAAAATATTCAATGTTTGGACAAGACAGACCCTGTTGGAATTTCATTATACATATGTGCAGAGTACAGACGTATAGATTGTGTTTATTTATATTTAATTAATTCGTAGAGGAAATTCTTCAGATGTTCTCGAATGTAAATGATAAATAGTAAGTTTAATATTAAAATTAATATGAATTTTTTGTTAAAATAGTTTTTTTTATGTCCACCAATGGGAAAATTTTAAGTCAAGATTTGCATAATATGTAACAACCTCGTTGCTAAGTGGCCAACCGCAACTTTCTACCGTTTCAGAAATTGAAGGAAGTTCTTAGGTTCTTGGAAGGGATGGCTTATTAGAGTGATATTTTGAGATTCTCCTGCACTACACTAGGGCGTCGGGATGAAGTCAGGTGTTATGAGGGATGATGTGTAAATGTGACTCACCAGCTCTGAATCTGGCAGCGGTCATAGTCAGCGAGGAGGTTGTTGAGGAAGAGCACGTGGGTCCACCACTTGCGGCGGCAGCGCGCGCTCTCGGGCGCGACAAGCACGCGCCACAGCGGGCCCGCGCCTATCGCGCGCCACCACGTCGCCGTCAGACCCACCACGTACGCGTTCAGGGGGAGAATCCTGAATGTAGTTATAAGTTCAGTTTCTTCGGGCTAATATCAGGAACTACTGTACGGATTTTCATACAGTTTTCACTAATAGAAAGAGGAATATTTATAGACATTTTGCAAAAAAATTAGCATGATGATATTTGTCAAAAAATGTCTTTATTAGGGGCGCACTCAAGGTGAAGTAAGGGTAAGACACTAGTATAAATTTTGTTACCCGCGGGCCAGTCTATGATTCATTAATTTACTCAATCTTTAACGTCCTTTGGTTATTTCATTTATAGTTTAAGTTCAGAAATAATATTTGTTGAAATAATCTTTTAATTGACAAGCACGCGCCACAGCGGGCCCGCGCCTATCGCGCGCCACCACGTCGCCGTCAGACCCACCACGTACGCGTTCAGAGGGAGGATCCTGAATGTAGTTATAAGTTCAGTTTCTTCGGGCTAATATCAGGAACTACTGTACGGATTTTCATACAGTTTTCACTAATAGAAAGAGGAATTTATAAACATTTTGCAAAAAAATTAGCAGTATGATGATATTTGTCAAAAAATGTCTTTATTGGGGGCGCACTCAAGGTGAAGTAAGGGTAAGACACTAGTATAAATTATGTTACCCGCGAGCCAGTCTATGATTCATTAATTTACTCAATCTTTAACATCCTTTGGTTATCTCATTTATAGTTTAAGTTCAGAAATAATATTTGTTTAAATAATCTTTTAATTGAACAGTTGTTATTCTATACATTATGTTCTAATTATGTATCCTAAGTGTTGAATGGCCAGGAGTCAGAATGCGGATTTAAAATAAGCGAATTTTTGTTGTTGTATTTTTTTAGCCAAAATGACTCTACAATCAAAAATTACAAACGACTATAATGTGTCATTCTTATATATTTTTTTAGTTTCCTATTATATATCGATATTAATTGTAGATATATAACTTGTTAGGGTGTTTTGTGATTTTTCTATATTTTTTATTGTTATTATATATACTTTAAATGCATATTTTAATTAATGTTTTTAATATTCAAATTTTGTTAAATAAAATTTCAAAATAAAACCTTTCACAGGTTATGTTACATTTTTTCTTTAAAGTTTTTAAAGATAATGGTATTATCATAGTAAATGAAGCAATTGTTTTTATTCCTTAATCACTCTATGTGTAATTATATGAATATTCATTAGCACTTTAACATTAATTATATCAACAATAGCTAATGTTATTTTCCTGACCTACTCTAATAACTTATTGTTTTTGTAGTATGACGACACGTTTGGCGCAGTTTGTAGTGACCCTACTTGTAGTGCTAACGGTCGCGGGTTCGAGTCCCGCTGGAGGCATTCATTTGTGTGATGAGCACGAATGTGTGTACTGCAGTCATGGGTGTTTATATTTATAATATGTATGTATTTAAAGTTGCATAATATGTGTAGTGTATCAACTATCTGGTATCCATAACACAAGCCTCGTAGCTTACCATGGAACTAGATGGTGCTGTGTGTTAATGTCCCATCATTTATTATATTTCAACTATCCGATAAATGTTGTTCATTAAATAATATTCAATTAATAATTCAATAAGGACAGTGGTGACCCAGTGGTAGCGCGCTCGCTTAGGAAACCGAGTGAAGCGGGTTCAAATCACCGGTTTTACACCTCTGATATTTTCATGTGCGAATCATTTCTAATATGTTTACCGCTTGCCTTACGGTGAAGGAAACATCGTGAGGTAACAAACATACACACATATAAACTTACCATCCAAGTCCGATACGATCCAGATAAAAAGTTTTATTTTTTAAACTAGCGGCTCACCCTCGTTTCGCTCGGATTCATTCCTAGGTACGTTTTAATGGTTAGTATGGAATAGATAGACTATATATCATGTTACTGCTCCGCTCCCTTGGGTAGGTAGGAAGATGATGATATAAAGGCTTAAAAATGCAAAAAGAATTTTTCAAATCGGATTTGTAGTTTCTGAGATTAGCGCGTACAAACAAACAAATAAACAAACAAACTCTGCCTCTTTATAATATTATACATTATAGATGAAAAAAAACCTAGAGATGTATATGTCGGAGACGGTCATCAATACGGTCGCTAAACGAAGCGCGGCACGACGCCTGAGTGATGGCAGCACCTTCGGTATTATCGCCAACACTCGGCGAGCTTCGTGCTACGACGGAGCCTAGCTAAGGGAGGGGTGCTAAGAGGGCTGGACACTTGCCTTCGAGCCGAGCCAAGCTTAGGACCGCTCCACTAGAAACTGTCTTGCGTTCCGTATTGTCTATACATGGTAATAGTGAAGTGGTATATGGCTGTGTAGTGAAGTGCTGTTTAACTATGTACAAAGTGATTATTGTTAATTTGAAATACAACTGTGATTGCATCGACTTTCATTTGAACCAACACTTCCCATATAACGCCCACTGTATAATTCATGATAAAATAATGGAAAATAATAGAGAAAATTAATGCTGCTTCGATATCAGAAGCGGGATCAGTGTTGGTTCAATTGCAAAAAGAACTAACTCTGAGTGAACAATGACGTGCAATGTTTGAACAACAAAATGTCATTATGTGGTCTTTTATCGAGGCCTTGCAAATGCCTCAGATGCAGAAGAACGTCAAGTTACGAGAGTTTGACCCTGACAATATGGATACGGACGCAAGATCTTGATTTGCGACTGTAGATTTGTGTTTTGCCGAAAACCCTCCATACGGCGGCTAGCTTATTTTAACAGTCAGTAAGGAATTAAAAGGATAAGGGTCGACGTGGCTGTCACAATTTGTATACCAGAGAATAACATAGGAAGAGTTCAAGGTGATTTTCAAGGCGAGATTTATTTCCACCGAGACATTGGCTGGTACGCTAATTAATTTTAACAGTGACAAACCAAATGAAAAAAGAAATTCGTTACGTACGCAAATCGCCTGATGACATCACTGAGTAATCGTTGGAAAGACGCTAGCAAGAATCAGGTAGCAATTGCGACTGTCCTTGCTCACTTATGTCAGTTTAATTCGAAATTACATCGATTGGCCTTTACTACGAAAATTGCTTCGCGAGATCGACTGCAGCAGGGATTGCACGCATTCTCACATTTGAAACGCAAAGTTAGTTTATCTGATGATTTTTCAAAAGTGCCATCAGGCACTTAGCATTAGCATCAGCTAAACGAGCCAAGCTAATGTTAAAATGTTATAAGTGCAGAAAAGTGAGTTATAAGCGGTCATAGTGTAGAAGCAAGGTAAATGACAGTGTGGAACGACCTTCGATGACAGCAACGGCATTGCAGCCTGCAGTGAAGTCTCTGGTGTGCTTCAAATGTGGCAAGTCTGGTCACATCACGCTCCGGTGCATAAGTAGTGCCAGTCAAGTGGACGGCAGCAATATGGGTGCAACACGAATGGAACGACGCGTGGGTGTAACCATCTTCGAATGTTCAATGGCATAGAGGTAATCTGTATTGCTTTTGTTATAATCATGATGCTGAATATTCGTTAGTAAGATAACATTTAGCAGTCAAATTGTGTGGTTAACGATTTTGACCTTGCAATTTCTAGTATTGATCAAAACAGAATATTCCGCACAGAGTAAAATTTGTTTTGTAACGATTAACGGTCATTCTCTTGAAATCTTTTGAAATATTATGTTTTGCCTAATTATTAGTTACAAAATGGTATCATGATAGAACATGAGATATTGAAAGGTTTTCTATTAACATGACGGCTATAAATTCTTTACACAAAAATTCTAGTAGGTCATGTACCAATAGAGGTTGATGTAAATAATGATCATCATGCGAAGCAAATGTTTTAATGAAGTCGATGGAAACCGATGTAAGCATTCTGACGGCCGTAGTAGTGTCGACCGTACTAGTAACTATTACGTAGTCATAGCCTAGTAAAAGTCGGTCTTTTGAGGAAGCTCAAACTAAATAGACCGTGGGTGTGTGATGTGCGTTTAGTTCTGGCGGAGGTCGGGGTCTGTTATGACCATAGTGTGTAGTCATCGAGAGGATGATACATACGGTGATCCCGTAGTGGATGCACCTGGATTGTGGAGCAATTGTGATTGCTGGTTGGCTTGTAAAGCCGTGGCCTAAGAGTGGTTTACAGAGGTGCTAGTAAATTTGAAAATTAGTTTGATTGAAGTGTTGAATGATGTTGGTACATGGCTCTGGATGACTGACGTTATTAGTTAGATTAGAGATAAATAGTGACTTGGAGTTTAAAAAAAAAACAAAGGTGTTAGCGTTAAAGCTTTTCGTTAGAATAAAGATGATTCAGATTCAAAGTTAAGTTTTATCTGGTCAGGATTGACCGAGTCGAGCAAGTATTTTCGTTGATTATTTGGTTGCAGGCTAACACACGGCTAACACACGAGGGCGTGTGCACGCAGGATGGCCGTGTCGGAGACGGTCATCAATACGGTCGCTAAACGAAGCGCGGCACGACGCCTGAGTGATGGCAGCACCTTCGGTATTATCGCCAACACTCGGCGAGCTTCGTGCTACGACGGAGCCTAGCTAAGGGAGGGGTGCTAAGAGGGCTGGACACTTGCCTTCGAGCCGAGCCAAGCTTAGGACCGCTCCACTAGAAACTGTCTTGCGTTCCGTATTGTCTATACATGGTAATAGTGAAGTGGTATATGGCTGTGTAGTGAAGTGCTGTTTAACTATGTACAAAGTGATTATTGTTAATTTGAAATACAACTGTGATTGCATCGACTTTCATTTGAACCAACACTTCCCATATAACGCCCACTGTATAATTCATGATAAAATAATGGAAAATAATAGAGAAAATTAATGCTGCTTCGATATATAAATATATTTCTACATACATATATTGTATCGATTCTAAAATCTGTTATAAAGGTGTAAGCTTACCTAATAACTCTATGCAGGACCATTTTCCACCAGAAGCGGAAGTTGATCTTCTTATTGGGGTCCTTGTCGAGGGAGAGCAGCACGTTGTAAGCGAGCAGGAAGCTGGACAGCATGATGAAGGTCTGGACCACCGTCGTGCCGTTGTTCAGCAACATCATGTGCGGTTTCTCTATGCTCTGTGAGATACCCCGACATATTGTCCTCATTACATGCAGGTTACAATGAATATCTTGTTCTTCCATACATGGAAATATATACACACAGACAACTGTATGACTTTTGTATTTAATAAGTCTAAAAAGTCTCTTTCAATACTTTTATTTATTCAAATGAAAACGAGCAGCTTTTAAGAACGCAAAACGTTAACAAAAAATTACATTAGAATTGTTCTAACCTGAAAATATAGCTCTTTGAGTCTTTATAAACATTGGGCAAGTACATTTTTTCTTATGTATCACATACTCTTCTTGGATATTCGATACTTTAGCCAGAATATCTAGGTTCAATGTTGGATCTCTGTTTTAAAAAGTTATTTTTTGTTTGAAACTCTCTACATTTGTGTTGATTTGAGTAGAAAGAAAGCGGAACTTTAGAAATACAAGTAGTGTGTAAATCGAAAAGAAAAATAGGGTGGTCATCTTTAAAATGAACCATGTTATGACGATACGTTTGACTCAGTGTGTAGTAACCCTACTTGCTGTGCCAGCGATCGCGGGTTCGAGTTCCTTTGGTGGCATTTATTTGTATGGTAAGCACGAATGCCTGTACTCCAATATGTATGTATTTAAAGTTATATATATGTAGTGTATCAACTATCTTGTATCCATAACACAAGCCTCGTAGCTTACCATGGAATTAGATGGTGTTATTGTCCCAACATATTAAATAAAAAAAATTGAATTGGTTAGACATTTTTTTCGAACGTAAAAAAGATTTTTGATAGCAATTTCTTGTAATATTCTTACTTCTTCTAGGAACCTGGGATTGTGCATGTACGTCATGTGGTACGCGATGATGGAGTGCACCATTACTACCAGCATCAGTAGGATTGCTCTGCAACAATTCATCTTTTTGAATATTATTTTATAGTCATCTCCATCAAGAGCATGTTATATCTAGCGTGGTAAAACTTAAAAGAGATTTATTATCTCTAGACAAATACAGTCCGAATAGAAAATATCTATTTTTTTCTTTCAATAACAAAGATTAAAGTGATTAAGGCTGTTGTTATGTAGTAAGAAGTTTGTCTGAATTGCATTGTTTTCTAAGTTATAGGCAGTGGCTTCGATTTTCTTATGAAGTAAAGCTTTGTATCTGGGGGCATGGTAGTGCCACTGCCAGCTACATAATATTTTGAATAAGGTGTAGAGTTTGTGAAGTAAGGGCGTGCAGAGTTAGGAAGCTTGGCTCCACATGAGCTCTGATAACTTTTTGACAGTACAAGCCATAAGGTCTCGTCTTGGCAACATTTTAGTTGAAAATGTTTTTGGTGGGTTTTATTATAGAAATATTTATTTCCGTCTTGTTAAATAGCAGTAAATGGAGTTTCTCAATACCGGTGAGAAAAATATAACTGACTAAGGACTAATGAGTTCTTTTCTTTGGCCACAGGCTACATACACAGTTAGTAGAAAAAAATAGGTTGAATTTTTATTTATTGAACTTACTTAAGACCATGTACGGGATTGAGGGCGGTTAAGTGAGAGTCTTCCTTGTCGTGGATGGCCACCAATCTTCCCCAGTTCACGCGTAAGGACCATGTCATGAGGTAGCGATTCGCTATAGATCCGAATAATAAATGATTATTATGACATTTAATTGAAATTAGAAATATATTAAATCTATAATTAACATATAATAAAATTCTATTCTATTCTTATTTTTTATTACCATATATATTTATTTATTATTACCATATAATAAAATTCTAACTGAATCGAATCTGTACATTAATTATTTTTTGGAAAATCTTATTGAAATAGTCATTATTATCCATACAGAGGCTAAATCTATAGTTTTTAATTTTTTTGTCTGTCTGTCTGGGAACGTATCACTAGAAAATTACTGGACAGATTTTGATGAAATTTGGTATAATGATAGCTGGTTATCCGCGTCAACATATAGGATTTTCACTGCGGGAAAATATCTCATCTATGAGAAATCTTTACTAAACATCTAAACGTAACTATGGAACTCGAGCGGAACGAAGGTGAGTCGCTAGTTATATATTCAAAACAAATGTACACTTAGTTATTGTTGCACTGAATTATTATTTAATATGCTGGACTAGCATACAGTATATTGGCATTTACTTAATTAATTTTATTACTGTACTTGTTCAGTCGAACAGAAAAATGTATTCATCTTAAATGTTTAAGTAGAGGTATTAAGTACAAATATACCCCCTAGTATTGAAGGGAGGCGCGTGCCCAGTGGTGGGACATTACAAAAATGACTGAATACAATACAATTCAAGAGAAAGAATACCATAACATACGTTTATTATCCTTGTTCCTTAACAGGTCATAGGCAGTTCCAAGAATATTGGCGAGGAGTATGACCGCTGTCACGCAAACGAACACGATATCATATGTATCTATCGTCATCGGAGGGCTGGGCTCAGTGGTGCAGTACTCTAGCTGCAGGAGCTTCGCTTCTAATCCATAGTTAGTTTCGGTTCTATTTTGCACGCAATTTTCAAAGACTTCAGATGGAGTTCCAGAAGATATATCCGCGCAGGTCCTGGTCACGCAGTAGCCGCGGTGGATGATTGTGTGGTTGAATTTGTATCTGGTTTCTGAAAATTCCTAAAAGCCAAGTTAATTGACCTAATTATTTTAATGATAAGATTATATATAAGAGGTGGCACTTATAACAGGGCCGAAATATCGAGAAATCAAAAAATCTTCAAGTACGAGTCGAATTCGCACACATTCATATTTAAAAAAATCCCATTTTCTTAAAACCATAAAATCTTACTTATAATATTTTTCGATGTTCACGTTTTAAAGCTAGATAGATATTTCTAGTAAATGTAGCTTAAAATGTTGCAATTGATTTCAAGGAAACGGATATGAAATATAATATGTAATGCAATAATATAATTTATACTTTTATCTTTTTAAATAATCTTAAAAACTATTTTGGCACGCATAATACCGTTATTAGAAGCGTATGCACGTGAGCATCGCAATGTGGGCAGAGTTCAGTTGTAGAGAGCTCAAAAAGTAGAGTCAAGTTACTAATTAACATTCTAAAGGAGCAAATTGGCGAACTAAGAAATTGGTTTATCCATCGATTTGACTACAAAATATCCAGTACTATAAAAGATTGTCTATAAAATATTGCGTTGTGTGATTGACGTGTATGATGAACTCATGTGCTGTGTAAAATTAATAAAAAAAATATATATAGTAAAAAAAATGCAAATTGTTACGATTGTGTTGACGAAACGCGCGACAAGCGTGTGTTAATACCGCGGAGTGTGTATGGGCCCTAAGCTTCCATTAGCTTATACGGTTGCGGATCGTGGATGCCTGGGTTCGAGTCTCGGATTGTGGTTTAGAGTTTGACGACACGTTGGGCTGAGTTTTTAGTGACCCTACTTGCTGTGCCAGCGGTCGTGGGTTCGAGTCCCGCTGGGGGCATTCATTTGTGTGATGGGCACGAATGTTTCTACTCCAGTCATGGGTGTTTATATTCATAATATGTATGTATTTAAAGTTATATATGTGTAGTGTATCAACTATCTGTTATCCATAACACAAGCCTCGTAGCTGACCATGGAACTAGATGGTGCTGTGTGTTAATGTCCCAACATATTTTTTTTTATTTATAGAGTATGTTGACCTGGCAAGAAATTCGTAGTAGCAGCGTAGCTGGGAAGTAAGTGTTGTTATATCACCGTGTCGAGGCAACTGTTCGTTCTACACTTGATTTTGATTCAAGCATTAGCATGTATATCTCTTATGAAAATAAGGGAATAGAACGTTTTAAATAAATTTAATTTAAAAAAATTGTAAGGTACTTTGGTGCCATTTTTCAATTTTTTGAATTTATTTTGTTATTTGTAGGTAGGCTGTCTGTAACAACTATTCGTATATAATACCTTAGAGACATCTAACACCTCAATCTCTCCTGTGACCATGTGCGCTGTAAAGCATTCGAGACGTTGGGAACCAAAAATCAAAATAAATTCGCGAAAAAATCCAAAAAGATAGTTTTATTTAAAATGTCAAGTATTCGCGTAAATCTAAGAAAGTATTATGGAATAGAACTTTCTAAGTTACTATATCTTTAGTTATAATACTCGTATCTAGTGGCTATAACTACAGTAGTCACTATCGTACATAACTTAAGCTGTAAATATTCTTTCTTGTTTCAAGAAAGAATTTTACATTTATTTAATTAAAAATACATTTTCAATAAAACTATCTTCGCGGATTTATCACGAAATAATCCGAAAATATCTTTTCGATTTTTTTTTTATTTAAAATGTCAAATATTCGCGTAAATCTAAGAAAGTATTAAAAATACGTATTATGTATGTACTATAAGTCGGAGGGACTGTGTTGTTGAGTAAATGAAAATAAATAACATTAAAACTAAACATATATGAAAAGGGCGATAAAAAATGAGTATAAATATGAATCCAGGCTAGAGCCTGCGATAATGCCTGAGATAAATGAAATTCAAAATGGAGATAGCTATAGATAGCTATCTCCATTTTGAATTTCGTTTATCTCAAATCCGTTTGAAAGAAAAAAGTAATAAATAGACATATTAAAAAAATGTTCGCATTTATAATAAAACATATATACATAAACATAAGGATTCGATTTAGTCAAAATTATGCATTAATGTAGGACGTGCAGACCCACGTGGCGATCTACCTTCACTTGGCTAATTTAAATGAAACTGTTATAAGGTCAGGGACAAAAACGCCGGTCGCTGACTCAATACGAGACTCACTAGTTTCTTACATACTCATATATATCGTATACAACTATATTCTTTGCAGACTAAATAGAGAACACAAGATTCAGTTAAAATATTGATGTTATTTTGGCTTCTATTTTGTAAGAAAATGACAATATAATAAATTTTGAAATATAAAAGGTATATTGGCAAGTGTTAAACTTTTTCAATTTAAAAAGCCCGAGGTTTGTTTTTTACACGATAATGCCAGATTTTGAGTACACAATTTAAATTTTTTTTTGAAAAAACAAGATATCAAACTTACTTGTATCATATGCAAGAGCTGGTTCCTTTGTGACGAGCGCAGTAGAAAAGACCCCATGCAGAAAGCACCTCGAAGGCCTATGCATTCTTCATAGTCGTCCAACTCGAAAAGCCGTGGCATAGAGTAGTACTGTTCATCTGAGACACAAAAGTTTATTAAAATGAGAATTAATCTATTTTATTGTCCCTCAGCTGGGGACGATCCTATCCTGAGACCCCTAGATGATCTGTGGTGTGTGTGTTTGACAACTAGTTAGACTCTCTCAGACTTGTACATAGATTTTCTCAAAATGTTTCCTTTTTACGCATAATAATCTCAGAGTTACGAGACTCAGGATTCGAACCCGTTTCTCTCTGTTTTCAAAGCGACCGTGCTCCCAATGGTATCAAATATTATTAGAATACTAGCGACTCACCCTCGCTCCGCTCGGGTTCGTCCCTGGGGTGGGGTCTGGGAGAACCACCCACCCTTATCCTTATCACTTAGGGGTATGGAAAATAGATAGTAGCCGATTCTCAGACCTATTGAATAAAATTATATAAAATTTGGTAAAAATCGGTAAAGCCGGTACGGTAACAAACATTGTGACGTGGAAATTTTATATATTAGATGTTCCTTTTAGCCGCTTTACGAAAACGGTTTTTATTGAACACTAGCGAGTTAACCTCGCTTCGCACAGGTGCCTATGTACGTTTTAATTTTTTTGAGCAGAACCGTAATTCTTTTTCTATAATGAAAGTAGGCTTAGTTACTCCTTAAAACATCGGCTATCTGCCAGTGAAAGACTCGTTAAAATCGGTCTAACCGTTTCGGAGATTAGCCAGAACAAACAGATAGACACAAAAAGTATAAAAAATGTTTTTTTCTTTTAAGTATCGTAAATACATACTTTCATATTATGCATTTAATAAAAAGCTTTGATTTCAACATTACAAACAGACACTTCAATTTTATTTATCTGAATACGTATTCATTTATTCATTTATCTGAATATCTAAATTGGCAGAATGGCAGTTTTATGGCGTATCTAAGATGGCAGAGACAGGCAGATGCCTCGTGGACAATTTGGGCTAAGTTTAGAAATAAATCTGTTCTTAGATGTGCGTATAATCACTTTTTAACTTGTGTTAAATTTGGTTATTAAGTTTCGTAGTTATTTAAAAGATGGTCGTTAAAAAGTCGTTACGAAAAATACTCGTAGTTAAATAGAATTGCAAAGTCAGTGCACCTAATTGTATGACTTCTTAAAAAATGACAATAACGGTGCAATTTAGCAGCTGACTGGTTACAAGGCAAAGTGTGACGGGTTCGATTACCACTTAGGTTGGACTCCAATTCTTATTTTGCCTTTTAACCGACTCCCAAAAAGGAGGAGGTTCTCGATACGTCGGAATCCTTTTTTTACCTTTGTTCACCGATTACGACACGAAGACTGAACCTATTTGGAATCATTTTTTTTAGTTTCGAAAGGTATACTTCCCAGGTGGTACCATTTAAATTTTATCGAAATCAGTCGAGCGGTTTTAAAAAATTCGAGGCACCGACTTCGAAAATATCTGATTACGTATCTATTCTAAATGAAAACCCCCGTTTAGTTATTTTTTACATTTTAGTGTCTGGGTTTTTTAAGTTCTTATAGTAAAGTTTAAATAAGTTTATATTATTTTAAATTAAATGAATCTTGTTGCGTTTAGGAACAACCATCTTGAAAAGCAATAGTTCTTTTTTGATACCCAATATATATGTTATGTTTTTACAAATTAAATAGAACATAACCCTCTAGAGTGAGTATAGCTTATACTTGGCTTTTTATTGGTTATTGTAAAAAATAGCCTTACATTTAGTTACTAAGTACTTGAAACTCACGCTGACTAAGGTACACACTGTTTTATAGTTAATTCAAAATAAAAAGGTTACGATAAAAAAAGTTATTTTTAATCAATTGACACATATCTCATCATCATCATCATCTCATATCTCAACGACTACCTACTCTGGATACATCCGCTTAAAAGCAAGATACAAAGATAGACGGATGTCAGTCCGTCTGGAGCAGGATTATCTGCTAGTGCAGTTCCGTCTGAATCTTGTGAGTGCGTAACTCTAAAAGATACATTAAAATTCGAAAACCATTAACATAAGATTAACCAAAAAAATCTTCGACTATTATATATATTGTATATACATTTACAAAAATTCCACCATTGACGTAGTCGTGTACAGTTTTTATCACTTCACGCAAAAACTTAATTGTAAAATGAATCAATGAAATTTATATACTACATAATGTATGAGATGAGATGACCATAATCGACGGATTTGACCCGTAACGGGAATGTTCCACAGCAAATAAACAGCTTGACAAGAAGTTTCTATCAAGTAACTTAGTCATTGCTGAAGATTTACGTCAATTATTTAACTACTAGCAGAACCGCAGCTTCGCTCTCGCTAAAACTACAAAAAATCTCTATAAAGGTAGTTTCATACAAACTTTCATCCCCTATTTTACCCCCTTATAGGATGAATTTCGAAAAAAATCGAAAACACGTATTTATTTAGTTTTATTGAAGAGCATTAATACCAAGTTTCAAGTAATTTTGATCATGAATATTTTTTGAATTGTATTATAACGTGTTTTCCCGTGGGAGTTAGAAAATGTCCCGCGGTAAAAAGTTGCCTATGTCACTTTCCAGCCCTCCAACTATCTCTATACAAGAAATCACGCCAATCCGTCACTCCTTTTCGCCGTGACAGAAGGACAAACAAACACACTTTCACATTTATAATATTGGTATGGATATACAATATACATAGTTATTTCAGTCTCCGCCTTTATTTACGCGGAAAATTTAGCTTTGAGGATGGAAAATTTGTATAACATAATTTTATATTTCTTTTTTTTTTTATCTAGAGATCCAATCTAAGTTTTTTTTAAAGTCAAAGATAAGATGCAGAAAAAAACGGGGATGTGTGTACATAGGCAATAAGAAAGTTATGTTCCAATAAACCTACGTCATAAAAGAAAGTTACATAAATAAATCTATCTTTTCCGACTTTTTTCGCGAATTTATTTTGATTTTTGGTTCCCGACGTTTTGAATGCTTTACAGCGTCGGGAACCAAAAATCTCAAAGGGAATCAATAAATTCGCGAAAAAATCCGAACAAATTATTTAAAATGTCAAGTATTCGCGTAAATCTAAGAAAGTATTAAAGTTACATAAGTTAAGTTTTTTAATTCCTCTGTCTGACTTGAAATATACTTAAATGATTGACCAATAGGTCGTTTTCAGGGATATAATCCTCAAAGACCTCGAAGTACATATGTAGGTATGTGTATTTGTATGGAAGCCAAGAGTTGGAACGCCACACACTCGGGTCAAGAGGCTGCATCTTTCGAGAGATAAACATTGAACACTGGATCGCCCAATAGAGTAGGCGAGGAAGATGTAGAACAAGGTGTGGTTGAAGATGTAATTGGGCAACAAGCGTATAAGAAAGTGCTTACTTTACTAAGTGTCCTGTTTAAAATAAGAATTTTAAAATAAAATTAAGTTTCAGTCACTCCTTGCTAATGATTCTTTACGTCGTGACGTAAAGGAAGAAAATGTTAACAGATACATATATTGTTGCATTTGTAATATTCGATTAAAAATGTAGTTATCAGATATAATTATTTAAAGTTTAAGGTCACGACCAGTGGATTAAATGTTATATAATACATAATTTTAAATACGTCTTTGACATTGCGAGAGTGCAGTGATCGAGTTTCATCGATTAATTCGATTATGGACCTATTGGCTTTTTTGGATTGCTACGGATCCTTTCGTGGGCGATTCTACTCGCACTTGACCGATTTTTATATATCTATTGATGTTTACCAAAACCTGGTCAGCAATACTACAACAAACCAACAAACCGTACGTAGATCAGTTCAGAAGTTCTGAAGTTATGGACTCACAAATAAACATTTTTTTTAAATATTAGCTTCTAGTAATAACCATTTATAGTACCTATTCGCTTGTAAATCAACACATATTGCACGTAAACTGAGGGCATTTCACTAGTTCTAAATCCCCAGTTGAAATGTTAAACTCAGATATGACGAGAATAACCAATTAACTCAACCAGTAAATGTCCTATTACGGTAAAGCATAATTTGCCATAACCAGCCATACTTCCTTAACTTTGAATTAATATTTATAATATTATGTATCATTAGGTTTAATCTCATTTATTTACTTGATTAAGAAATAAGATTGAAAAAAAAAATATCATCGTTAATGGTACGTATAGTGTATTATTGTCTGGGCAATTAATTTTGTTTATATAATAAATATTATGAAAATAAAAAAACCGACTGCATAAAAGCTAACTTAAAGACGAAAACAAGGTGACGAAGGAATAAAGTATTATGCAGTCGGAGACATACCTACACGTTTCATCCTTGGCGCAAGATATACACTCGTATGTATGTCTCCGACTGCATAATACTCTATTCCTTCGTGAACTTGTTTTCATCTTTTAAGTCAGCTTTTATGCAGTCGGGTTTTTTATAAGTTATATATTTTTTATTTACAGCTTTTTAATTTTTCATCACTCGATTGGTTTGGAAGAATTTTTTTTAAAGACACACATGAGCGCCTGAAATCCGCCATTTTTTTTTTATTTAGCCTATAGCACTTGAGTTATCAGGACGAATCTAACGACGTATGAATCATCGGAATCGGCCCAAGTGTTTGGTGTCTAGAAGGTCACATAGGAACAAATGTTTTGACCAGACTTATAAACAAAAAACTTCATCCAAACTCGTTGAATCGTAACGTGTGAAGAAGAAACATACATACACACATACAAAGTAAATCGTTTATAATAGTAATATGATAAGTCATTAATAACTTCATATTTAACAAAAACCATAAAGTGGCATAAGTAGACCTTCGATGCCCTTTTTGGTTTGGTTTGGTTGAAAAGCCAGGTTTGTGGTGGAAAAACCAGTACTACTCACTAAAATAGCCCGGAACCTTTCTAGCCTAGCTGTCTAGCTGTATTAGTTTAATACCATCTGTTAAAATCAAACTGTAGCATCTGACAAGGCAGTCCACTTCATTACAAATGATGGAAGCTCCATACATTTTT